ATATGGAGCTTTAAAGCCACTGTAGCAGCTGTTTAAAATTTCCCAAAGCCCGCTGAGGACTTAAAGCTTCATCATTGTCAAAGTATAACTTCCCAAAGGTTCAAAGCATAATTGTGATGTAAATATAGAGTGATCTGAATATATGTGTCAAAATGTGTTTAACTCATTAAGGAGCAGGATGACAAAGCTGGATGAAGAGAGGATATGGGAGCTGATTGTTACGTACATGCTGATGTAGGTCTACACACAGCAACACGCATACACACAGATGTTATACACACAGCAACACACATATACATTTAGTGGCGGGAAATGCTGGAATATGATTGCAAAGTTAGATATAATTGTTTAGTACCCTGCAGGGACAAACAGACATAACCTTTAGAGTTAGCTTTTCTACAGGACAAAGTCATCTGCAACTTTCTAGCTAAAGTGAGTAATTCCAGACACTGGGTCCTAGTCAATAGCACATCGTCAGTCATAGGGAGTCACATCCCCGAGACTCAGCAGCCCACTGGGCTGCCTCATCGAGACCATGATCTGGCAGGGCTTTGACAGAGTGCACAGTCATCTTTTGGCTTTATTTCCATATTCTGGAAAATTCCTTACCATTGGTGAACATTGAACATCTCATACCAGCTTATTGGGGCTGTCCCTGCACAGGGTGGCCCCTGAGAGCACTTCAGAAGGCCAGGTCCACTGAGGAAATGGAATTTATTCTTTCCTCTTAGTGGTTCCAGTAAGAGTCAGCGTTTGTTCTGGAACAGTCTCTGAATTGCACCATGGCGACTGCATCAATCCAATAAGCTCTCAGCATGTCTACTGTGGATGACTAGCCACTAGCCCCTTCCTAGCTCTCACTTTTTTGTTGACACATTTCTGGTTGTTTCAAAGATGAGCCCAGACCTGGCTGGTGTGGCTCAGTTGGTAAGAGCATCGATCTGTGGCCAAAGGGTTGTGGGTTCGATCCCCAGTCCAGGGCACATGCCTGGGTTGCGAGTTTGATCCCGAGTCCGGGCACGTACGATCCCCAATCGAGGTACATATGGGGGGCAGCGAATTGGTGCTTCTCTTTTGCATTGATGTTTCTCTCTCTCCCTTCCTCTTTCTCTAAAAGCAATGAAAAAATGTCCTCATGTGAGATTATATATATATATTGTTTTAAAAAACATAAGCCCACACACTACTGGGAAAATGTAGCGAAAAGACAAGGACACGCACTAGAGAGCTGTTGGCGCTAAGCTGAAAGAAGTGACTTTACGTAAAAGTTCAATTGCTTGGGACTATTCCTTGCATTTTGCATTTCCTTTTGGTAAGATAGGGAAAGGTTACCTTCATACTTGGATGTGCAGAATGCTGGCCACTTTAGACGCTTCCCCTAATGCCAACCATCCCTGTGTCAATGGGAGGATTGAACACTGGCATTTCCTAACTGCCTCACAGAAGCTTCTCACTTGTTTACTACAGAGCTAAAGGGAGAGGTGGGGAGTGAACTCTCCAGGCGCGACATCTGAAGCCGATCAGCTCCCTATACCTTTTGCAAGATGCCTCTCTGGCTCTGGGCTGTGGGAGGAATGCTTTCTTTCCACAGCGCATACAGTGCCCTTTGTCTTGGACCCTGACCTAGACCTTAGGCAGCACTGAAACGCTCTCACCCCCTGGTCAACATGGGCCATCTGTCTCAGAAACACGGGGTCAAGTAGAGCCAGCTCTTGCCCTCCTGGTCTAACGGCAACAGTTAAAGGCACGTCTCCAAAGGTTCAGCATTTCCAAAGCGTTTTAAATGTTTCACCCACTCTATGTCTTGCGTTGACCTGGAAGTCCCATGCCGTGTATCTGATAAGGGAGCCCATGTTTGACATTTAATCCAAGATTTATGCACAGAGAATGTGAAACAGCACAAAGCAGCCCACATGAATTAGGTTACATACACACACCTCTAATTTGGCCCATTGGAAGGGGGAGAAGGGGCTGTGACTGGTTCAGGTGATACTATTTTCAAGCCTCATGTTCTTGCTTCCAGGTACAAAGGGAACATGAACTAGTGATAAAGCCAAGCTGTGCTGCTTTGAGGAGATGGATAAATAGGAAATATTTGCAAAACCACACCAGATGAGAATGCTCTAGAATTAGATGGTGGTGATGGTTGCACAATTTTGTGAATAAATCAAAGGTGGAGATGTACACTTTGAAAGGGGTACTTTATGGTATGTGAATGATTCCTCAATCTTTTTAAAAATAAGTGCACACTCAAAATTAGGGATTCCCCATGGGGCTTTGGGCCCTTCTCAGCTATGAGCACTTGCTATAGCAAAACACTCCTCTGCTTTCAGGGGCAGAAAGGCCTGTCAGCTCTCTCAGGGTACCAAAGCTGGGGCCCTAGAGTCAACCCCAGCTCTGCCAAATTCCGGCTGTGTGTCCTTAGGCACATACCTACCTACCTCATAGCCTGGAGACGTGTCAGGGCCACCTCGTGCACAGCGGGAACTCAGGGCGTGCCGACTGCTAAGGTCTACTCCTGGAGAAGCTTAAACCACGGCGAGTATAAGCCACTGCTTCTCACCTCCTGAGGTCACGGCACATCCTGGGGAGAGGGGGCATCACTTTAGGATCTGTAAAGGCTGATACCAAGCCTTGTATCTACATTCTTCCTTGACTTAAACCTCAAACCATAATGTGTACCCACACCTTGGATGGCACTCCTGTCTTTACCATTTCCTGACTGCTGAGCCCTTACCCCACCCCACCAGAGATGCTGAACTCACTCCCTCAGGAGACCATAAACCACGTGCTCTCTCTTTACAGGAATAAATGTTCCACTCTGCCCCGTCATGCTTAAATTCTTACAACTCTTGGATATGGTGCTGATCTCTATTTCTATTCTAATGTCAGTCTCTCTCTGTCAAACTACACTGTTTTTGTTTTTGGAAGTTAAATCATGTATTTTTCCTGTTTTATGGGGGAAATTCTCCCTTTTTAAAATTCCGTTTTGCCCTGGTCAGTTGGCTCAGTCAGTTAGAGCATCATCCCGTACACCAAAAGGTTGCGAGTTCAATTCCTGGTCAGGGCACATACCTGAGTTGCAGGTTTGATCTCAGGTTGGGGTGTGTACGGGAGGCAACTGATAGATGTTTCTCACGTCGATGTTACTCTCTCTTTCAAATCAATAAACATATCCTCAAGTGAGGATTAAAAAAACAACAACTCCCTTTTAAAAACCCATGAGTTTCTTAGCTTTTTCTTTTTAAATTTTTCACAATAGAGCAAATCCACTTTATTTACTTTCCAATAACTTTAAATCCTTGAGGGGTATAGCATAACACGGATTCTGTGTCCAACGACCTTAGCAGGAAGGTCGCTTTGAATTTAGCATGAATCACGCCTGTGCTTCCACGAACAAGAATTACCTTTCCCCCAGGTTGCCTTGGTTTTGTTCGGTTTGCCACCAGAAGTCACTGTGTGGTTCTTTGCCTTGTTCACAGAAGCACCGCTCTTGCCCAGAGAGAACAGTTTCATCTCGATCACAAACACATTCAATTTTAAGAAGAGCTGTGTGTGCTCCCTTTGGTTCCGGAGACACCACTTATAGCCAACAAAAATGGCCTTGGACCACAGCCTTCCAGATGAATCTGTCCGCATAGAAGTCCTGTTCCCAGCAGGCTCCCCAGGCTCCAAGACGCCGGAATGAGTGTTTATTTTCTTACATGAACTGTAAAATTATATTTTCAAGTTGCAAAAAAGAAATCCTATTGATTGGAACTTCATTTAGTTTACAAATACCACACATCTGGGGACATGGCTTGTCTTTCCATGTACAACTATGCTAATGACCGCAGTCAAGTTTTAGACATAGCTTGATATTTCCAGAAATTACTTGGGTTTCATTGGGATCTATTTCTTGCTTGTTAACCTGTAAGAAACTATTCATTTTTCTTTATTTAGTAGGTGGCTCCCCTGTGAACTTATTCTAAGGGTTTTTCAGCTGTTTCTTTTGGGTTTCCCCAAAAGAGCCTATCTATGAAGGCTTCTCTTTTCTAATGTTTCTAAGAGTTCTCATTTCACTTTCTTACATAATTGTGCTTTCTGAAGGATGCTGAAGAGTGGGGATAGAGTCTTCTTGTGCTGTGCCCCACTGCAGTGGGTATACCTCTAGAAACAAATAGTTCTTTATATTTGCTTTCTAAATTGAGTTTACCAAAACCTTTGCTAATAGGAAACATGTACATACTAAGAAAAACTTTAGAATGTTCACGAAACAGAAATTGCTCTTAGGAGTAACTGACCTCTACCGTGACCCTCTGGCCAGAGTTCACGAGGACAGAAGCTACCTGTAATGCCACTGTCAAAGGCCAGCACATGGAAAGAGTCTTTCCACTCCTGTGCCCTCACCAGAGCCTTTGCGGGCAGAGCCGGGGGTGGGGGGGTAGCTTGCACTGATTGGGCCCCAGCCTGAGACCGCAGCCCGGAAGTCACCATGCTGACTCCAACGTCTCCATTCTGGCCCTGCCTGACTGGTATGGTCTCCCAGGCTGTAGGCAAGCCGTGGATTAGACACCAAAAAGCTGGTCTGGGACTTAGCTTACTGAAAAATAAGGGTCACCATTCCATTATAATTTTGTTTAAATGCCAGATTGCTATGTGGAATGTCTCCATAGGTTACACTGCATCTTAATTAGCTAGAAATCCCTCCTATCCGTGGTCTGAAAGCACAGCGACTTTACTGTACTTGCAAGTTCACCATGTCCTAGGGCAGCTCATCACTTAAGCTTATTTCCACAGTTGGCTTCACTTGGAACTGACAACAGAGGAGTTTCAATAAGTTTGACAGGGAAAGGACAGCCACACAAGATTCTGAGGGGTTTTTTCCACAAGGGTTTGAAAAATTCTGATGTGGTTTCAGCAGATTTCTTCATTGAGCCTACAGAAACAAACAAAACACTAGCACACCATCAAACTCTTCAGTGAAAATGTATTTCACATTAAAGACAATGTACACATCATGCAAATGAGGCATCACCACAGTGACAACGATGCTGTGAGGTACAACAGATCACAACAAAGCAGACCTTTAGCAAAATAAAGCGGTAAGAAGATGGCGAGGCATTTTTTGAAAGCCAGACCATGCTACGATTTTCCATGTGCTTGTCATAAAAGGGGTTTTCCCCGACAGTCGTCCAGATCAATGGTACCGCATTACCGGAGGCATGTATTTTATTTAGTATATATACATACACAAACGTACAGAGTTTCCATAACCAATAAAGTCTTAAACTATAGCTGGTTTTGAAAGCACATAAACAAGATTACTATTGACTCTACGTTTCCTGGTTGCAAGCCTCTGTCAGAATTATGGATCTTTCCAAACTCTTATTGTACAAGTCAAAAAAGAGTTTCAAGGGAGAAAAGGTCATTTTAAATCAGAAAGCCACATTTCACCACAAGAAACGAAATTGAGAAAACACATTATATGGCATAAAATGCAAGGAGTATACATTCTAGTGTCATTTGTCCTCTGTTCAGACATTGTACGTTAAAGTCCATTCCAGTGACACAGAGTCCCGTTCAGAGCCCACTTATTTCAGGGCACTATCATTTCCCTTTGTGCCTGCTCTTATTAGAGGTGAGCAAACACAGGTGCAAACAAACAAAAGCCCCAATATTAACAACATGAAAACCAACCACCAGTGCATGAGACACACAATTCATTCAGTCCAAAAGCCACTCGATGGTTTGGAGTGACCAGAGCTTGGAGACTTTAAGGTGCGATATGAAAAGGTCCTTTCTAAATTCAGCTGCTCGTGTCTATAGGAATATGCATAAGAAAACAGAAATCATTCCACACTGTTTAATGGCTTTGTTACTCAACCAGACTTATTCCGTTAGTTCCCCAAGGAGTAATGTGGCACAACGCATTTTGCAGGTGACTACACTTAATAAAAAAAAAAAAAAAAACACCTTCTTGACAGTAACTTCCAACAAAGAAATCTCAGAGAGGGGAGGGGGAGAAGAACCACCCCCCAACCCTGGAATTTCTTCTTCCAAACACAGACGGGGAGATATGCAGCCCAAGTTCAGTATATATTTAAGTAGAGTCTGGGTAAATGTCTAGAATATTTACAGGGAACGATATCTAAATGTTTATGTGCTCCAACTTTGGGAATAAGAATGGTTACAAGGTGAGTTTCCCAGCTGGAATGACTCGGTTTTGGGTGATCACTATAACAGAGTAAGTAGTACAGGAAGCGCTTTATCAGCAGCCGAAGCTCATACATAGAACCATAACATGAAACATTGCTAGGACTTCGCCAGGTTTCTACCAAGAGTGGCCAGTGTTTGACATACTAACTAGGAATACAGTTACAATTCGATCTAAGAATTTGGAGTCCAGTGGTTAAGGACGACAGGAGTTTCTTCCGAGGGCCAGCAGCTCAAATTTGACTACCAGCAGCTTCATGGCTTCTCGAAACACCACCTGTGTCAATTCACAAACAAACCCCAGTGAGACCAACGAAGAGACTGAGTATTTGGCAGTTTGTAGCATCCATTCCCTCGCACTAAAGCGCTCACACGCTATGAAACTGGCTGCCTTCTCGGTGATTTTCATTCTCTTTGGCTCACACAGTATCCCTCAACAGAAGTGCTACAGTCTTTTCTACAGGACCATTCTTCTAGGGGGGCCAAGTTCTCTTGGTGCGAACTGTCCTAAAACCTGCAGGATGTTTAAAGCCCTAAGCTTTGCTTTCCAAATGCCAGCGCTGCCACCCAGCCATTGTGACAATAACAACCCTCAACACATTTCCAAATGCCCCCCTGCCCCCCTCCTCACCCTGCGGGGGTGGTACCACTTCTGGTTGAGAGGAACTGAGAACTTGAGTTTAAGACAAATTGAAACATGTCTTATGAAAACAAGCAGTACGAAGGTGATTGTTTAGCCAAGATATTTTCTTTGCTTTTAGGACAGGGTTTTCATACTTCTTTTAGAGATGTAGGAAATAGATTCGAGAAGCCTACGTTTTGTGGATTTTTTTGGTCCTTATTGGATAGCGAGGTTAGTGAACGGAAGGGTTCAAGGTATGCTAACAACAAAGGAAATCTTTTACTAAATATTGAGCCGTATGTCAGGGAAACAGAATGCTCAGGTGAATGGCTTTTGTTTTTGAGTGTCCAAGAAGGCAGCTGCTCTTCCCAACTAGGGATACTGTTTTTTCCAAAAATGACCTGTCACGCATGCCCTCGAGAGCCAAGAGACCAAACTCGGAAATGCGCTGCCTACAGCCCATGGCTGAGGTCAGGCAGATGTAAGTCTATGGAACACCGCGACCTTGGCTGCGCAGCCTCCCCAACCTGTCTCCTAGTTTGAGAAAGAGACAGATTGGACTAAATCATAGCAGGCAGCAAAGTTCTGCTATAGGAGTGGAGCAGCATCAAAAACAAAGTGGCTGAGAGATGGCTGAGACTATAAAAATGTCTAAAAAGAGTGTAAAGTGGGAGGAAAACTGGCATTATAAAGTTACAAAAAATTGATGATAAATTCCAATTGTGTTTTCATTACTGAAAAACAAATACGCCCCAAACTGAAGCACATCTAATGTGAGATGTGTAAACCAAATTCACACAAATGCAGAGTGTTTACAACCTATAGATATACCTTACTCAAATGAAAAGAGCTTTTAGAAGGACTGTGGCAAGAAAAAAAGGCCAAAGGTAGGGAACAAAAGCTTCAGGGCACAAACTTCAGCTCTCCCCAAGCCCCACTCCCTCAGGCATGCTTCCTTCAAGAACAAATGTTTGCTTTGGAAGACTCCAGAATGGATAAATGGAACAGGAAATCATTTGGCCCAATACTCAGCAATGTACACAAATGATTCTGGATAGAATGTGCGATGTTGCTGGGTAAAACTAGGGGAGAAGTTCATGTTATTAACACCGCCTTGCACCACTATTAGAGTATGCTCTCTTTGCTTCAAAGTAAGCTGCTAGTCTAGACAGGTGGTGGGTCAAACTTTTAGGCAGCACTTCTCAACACACATACCCCCTAAACAGCAGGGCTGGGAGTGGCGGGGGTGGGGCTGAAGGCTCCTGTGTGAAGGATTTACTTGAAATCCATTTCAGTTCTTGTGTGTGCCGCAGTATATACCATATATTCATATGCATGTTTGCATTTCTCCAAAAAAAAACCTGACCATCCAGGAGGCTGAGTGATGCTTATTCTACCTTCATGACCCAGTTGGAGAGTTACGGATTTAGACTATCATCAAAAGACTGTACCTTTCATTAAAGAGCTGCTGTATTTGTCAACAGAAGGTGTTCAGAGTACTTTCTTGGCTGGGACTGTTAAATCCTTCGATCAGGTTTTTGTTACAGTCATCCAGGCTGAGATTTTCACTGGATCTCTTGGGGAACATGGGGGGACCGGTGAAATCTAAGAGATCTTGAAGAGCTCGGGCATTACCAGTTCCATTTTGGTCCAGAGACACCCCAGGAATCATTTCACTCACTGGTGAAAATTCTGGGATGGAGATAAGCTCTTCTTTTGAAACAGGACTGGGGTTGGGGGAGGTGAGGCGGAGAGAGGAGGGGAGAGGGAGAAGGAGAGGGAGAGAGAGACAGACAGATAGACAGATAGAACTATTAATTCTAATATTTTGTTATACTACTTTTCTTTTCTAGAGAAGATGGATTTAGAGCCAGAACTTGTGTGTAACACATTGTAAAAAATATATGTTAGTTCAAATCTGAGACACTGACAGACATGAGGCCTCCGTGGATGAGAGCAAGGGAAGGGGACTGAGCAGGGCTGAGCACGCTGTCCACAGGAAGGAAGAAAATAAGAACCGCAGGCACCAGCCCTCTACTGCAGAGAAGCCAAGCACTTCCCAGACCTTTGAAATGGGAAACCCGGACAGAAGGCAAAGGCTGGAGGTTAAAAGCGAGCTGAGGAAGGGCTCTCATCGGCACCGGGGCTCAGGGCTTGGGGTGCTGCCCCTGGCCAGCACTGCGGCCCTGGGCGAGCTGCTTTTCCTTCCCTGGCCTCAGGTTCCTCCGCTGTAAAATGGGATGAAGTCATTTCTCCCCACAGGGGCTCCTGCGAACGGGGATGTGCTCATGCTGGGCGAGTGTTCCTGCGGTGCCGCTGGGTATAATGTAAGTGCTTAATTAAGGTTGGGGCCTTTGTCAACAAGGACCCGGTCACCTGCAGAGCGAACCTCTCCCACAACTCCCTCTCTAAAGGGAAGCTTCCACTCCCACCTCTGACTTGTCCAGACCTTGCCCGGTGGTCCTGGCTCGCTCCCTCCCCTGTCCCTAGAGGTGGAAGGCTGGCTGCAGCAACCACCGGCCTAGCTCAGAGGAGTGGCAGCTTGCCATTTGAGGACTGTCATCTGGAGTCTCTCCTAACAGCCAGAGTAAGGCCGCTGCCAGGTTGATCTGCTCTTTTTTCCCTTGATAAGATCTCAGAGAAGAATCTAGAAAAACCCAGTGAACTGTGGAAGCTCAGAGGATCCGTCTCCTTCACACTGAGCAGCAGCTGACCTAATACCACTTCTGGCGCCTGGGGCCTGGGCAACCGTCTCATTAGCAGACACCCCATTCCCTGGGTTTAAACAGCTGGTCAGAGCTTGGGGAAGAGAGGATGCCACAAGCTTGGGTGCAACCTCCCGGCACCACCCCTCTCCAAAGGCAGAGGTGGCTACTGCGAGAACTCAGTGCACACACAAAGCCCCTTCGTCACTTTCTTGAACCCTGGCTGGTGCCATGTCTTGCCCCCTCCCCCCACCCACTCAGGGATAATTTGCTTATAAGAAAATTATCTTATAAGGAATAAGCTGGCTCAGCATAGGGGTGAGGGGGGTGTTGTGTTAACTTTTAACAGGCCTCAGGTGTTTCCCCCGGCGGAAAGGTGGCGCCAGGCAGGAGAAGCTTGCCGTGAGGGTGGCCGGTGGTGTACGGTGGTGGCAGGGGAGGTGGCAGCAAGGGTTGAGGAGGCCCTGCTATCTGTTTGTACAAGACTTGCTCTTCTGGTGATGGGCTGCTGGACCCTGGGTTTTCACACATCCAGCTCAAGGCCAGGGTGTACGAGCTGGGGTATTAACAGTCAGCGAGCCCTAGGAAAGATCCTCCGCCCCGCGCCCCTGCTCCCAGACGAATGTGACAATTCACAGCCAAGGACAGCAGGGTAAGCTCTGGGAGAACTTCTGCACAACACTGTCGGTCCCTCCTGACTCGGAGAGCCGCCCCCCCATGCCAACGACCCTGCTCAGGACTCTGTTCTGGTGCCTCTGCCCCAGTCCCATGCTAACTGAGTTCTTCTTTCGTCTGAGATTAGTTTGCCGCCTGGTGTTATCCACAAACACACCGGTTTAGGAATTTCTTAAGTTTTTAGAATCTGAAAGCAAATTAGTTCCTTTCTCAAGTCTCCAATGACAGGTTCACCTAAACGTGAGACACTAGATGCAATGACCCTGCTGGTGTCCCTTCACCTACAAGGGCACCCATCCCCCAGCTGCAGAGAGAGCTGGCAGCTAAGGATTCAGAGCCGCCACCCTTTTTCTGACAACTGCCTTCAGCTGACAGGAGCCTCATGCCCACAGACACTACCCCTGTATCCCCCCGCCCCCGCCCTGAGTGGCCCACAGCCGATGCCTGACGGATGCAGTGGCATGAAGGCCGTCTCCCTTATCTCATTCAAGCCACTCTATGGTGGCTATGCATCCTCCAGGACTCCCACAGAATCAGTTGGGACTACATCCTTGCCTAGTGACTCTCCCTGCCCCATCCTGTTCCTCTCTCCCTCCACTTTCTCCTATGAACTCTCTCCAATCAATCCCAGGCCCCAGGCCCCAGGCCCCAGACCCCCTGACCCTAGGCTCTGCTTCTAAGGAGCCTGACCCAAGACACTAATGTACCACTGAGGGCTTTCCTGAACAACAACTGAACCTACCGGACGTGATCTGCGTGTATAGAAAATGAAGAGATCAACTACAAGGCAGGGGAGGTATTTGGAGAAGAGATGAGGCTCAAATGCAAAAAAAGCCAACTTACCTCACATCCATAGACTGAACCTCTTCAGTTGAGTCATCCAGACTGTTTGATTTCCCATCGAGGGTGTCCAGATGAACAAGTCCCCCAACTGGTTTAAGCCCATTGGAGAAAACGTCTCCGGGGAAAGTTGCTGGGGTAGCGCGCTCCACGCCATTAACTTCCTGGGCGGTGCCCAATCCATTGATTTCTGATTGAGAACACAAAGTCACTCTGTTAATCATAAAGTATCCCAAACAATGGAGCAACAGAGGAAATATACATATGGAGGCAATTAATTTAATCTTCTGCTTTATCAACAATGCAACATCTTTTGCAAAAAGAATCCCAGGTAATCACTTTCACACAGGGGAAGAGGAGACAAATGGCATTATCAGTGTCTGTGCGGCAGGGCTCATGGCCCGGCCGGGGGACTCGGTGTTGTACACAGTATAGGTCCCCAGGCTCTGGTAGCTGGTTCTTGGGCCACAAGACAAAGGAGAAACGTGAAGAGTGACTCTGAGATGGACTTGCCTTTTCTGACTTTGGCTGCCATGAAATATACCACCCTAGGGAGTTTCAAGTGCACACGCCTGACGAGAGCTGGACTACCCAGGAGTGTGGAAGGCAGGAGAAACTGCCATAAAACAGTACTCAGTTCTTTTTTATAATTTTAAAAAATATGTTTGTTGATTTTAGAGAGAGGGGAAGAGAGAGAGAGAGAGATAGAAACAGTGATGTGAGAGAGAAACATCAATTGGTTGCCTCACACACACACACACACACACACCTTGACTGAGGGTCAAACGTGCAATCCTAGGTATGCGCCCTGACCGGGAATAGAACCCCCGACCTTTTGGTGTACAGGACAACACTCCAACCAACTGAGGCACACCAGCCAGGGCGGTCAGTTCTTAACAGAACCTGCCCAGCAGTGAAGCTCCCTGGAAGGCAGCATAGGCCAGCGCCGGCTGGCTCCTGCAGCAGGATGACTAGAGAAACCGGGGAACACGGTGCTTTCCAAACGGACCCAGCAGGCCTGCGCCAGAGCGGGAGACTCCACCAGGGAAGGGAAAGTGCACAGCTCCCTCCCAGCAGATGCGTTCTTAGGACCCATGGGTATTTGTCCCCTGGACGTGTATTGAGCCCTCACTTGCTGAAAGGAGGGACCCAAGAACCAGACCCACACTTACCTATTTTGTTCGGGACAACTGCTTTTGTCTTATTTTCCACGCACACAGTAGGCGGAAGCTCCATTTTCAGGTCTTCTTTCTAAAAACAAATAGAGGGAAGACTGACTTACACAGAACGACAGGTTTTTGAAAGGCATCAGAGGCTATCTGGAACCATGCTGGGCCATCTGCTTGCTCCACGGAATTCTCTGAGTCCTCTGAGCTTATTGCAAGTCGGCTGTATTTCCTGTGTTAATATCACCATTCTCTTTTTTATTCATGGCTACTGTGTCTATCCTGCATCCCCACCTCCATTTCTCTGAGGAAATTTTTCACTATCACCCTGTCTCTGAAACTCCTCTTTTCAGGCACCTACGGCCGGGAACAAAGCAGGAAGGGTCCATTTGGTCCGGGTGTCCCCCTCCGAGATTGACGATGCCAGTGGAGGGATTCTGCCACTCAGCCCACAGACTATGGAAAGAGGATTCTGAATGCCCACCTTCACTTCTGGAGACACGTCACTCTTCCTTGTTCTCTTCATGATTTCATCTATTCTCTGGAAACCAAAAAGACTCAGGTAAGAGGAATGCAAGACCAAGACCCCATAAAAGTTGCTGGGTCTAGGTGCAATTTCACGTTTCTCAGCAAACCCATAAAAGAGAAACGTCAGCAGAGGATAATGAGTGTAGAAAGGGCTTTCCACTGGTTTTGCAGATGTACGCCTTTGCCCTATGAACAAGGTCAAATGTTGGAAAAGTGAACTAGTAAGTGTCTAAAATCAACATTGCGTTTACATCCCATCTTTCTCCTTCCTCTTCTTGGGTTACTGGAAAAATCAATAAATCACCACCTGCCATTCAAGAGGAACACCCTAGACAAAGGTGAGGTTGAGATGCAAGTTGGGAAGGGAGGCCAGGTTGGTCTCCTGGGTCCCAGGCCTGCAGTGACACAAAGCCCAGGCTGGAGCTATGATCATCAGCACGATGGACCTTTATAGAATCTGCTTCCTTAAAACCAACTTCACCCATAACTGCATTAAATGTAAATAGACCAAACACTTCAATGTAAAGGCAAAGACTCTCTAACAAGTCCTGACTATATGCTGTTTACAAGAGATACACTTATAGGGACACACACAGGTTCAAAGTAAAAGGATAGAAAAAGGTTTACTATGCAAATGCTAATCATAAAAAGACTGACAAAGTGGACTTTAAGGCAAGTATTATTAACCCTGACTTGTGTGGCTCAGTGGGTCGGGCATCGTCCCACAAACTGAAAGGCTGGTGGTTTGATTCCCAGTCAGGGCACATGCCTGGGTTGCTGTCCAGGTCCCCGGTTGGGGGCATGTGAGAGGCAACCAGTTGGTGCTTCTCTCCCTCTCTTTCTCCCCCCTCCCGCCCTTCCCGTCTAAAAACAAGTAAATAGAATCCTTTTTAAAAAAGACAAGTATTACTAGAGATAAAGGATGTTTCTAATGATAAAGGTGTTCATTCAACAGGAAAATTAGCTAATTTCAAATATATATTCACGCACCAGTAGAGTTTGAAAACATAAAACATAAGCTGATAAACCTGGAAGGAGAAATGGACAAATCCACAATCACAGATGGAGCTTTTAACACTCCTCTCTCAGTTAACTGACAGAACAAGGTGACAAGAAGCTAATAAAGGTATAGAAGATCTGAACAGCACTATCAATGAACCCAGCTTAATTTGACAATTCTAAGGTCACTCTCCCCAAGAACTGCAAAAAGGAACTGGATTCTCCTTGCCTTCAGTCATCCGAATCCCTTAGCTCTTACCTTCTTCCTCTCCAGCCGCTCCTGTTCAATCTGTAGCATGATCTGTTCTCTGTCTAGACGCATCTGTTTAGCTGCCTCCTGGGCCTTTGCTTCTGCTTCTTCCTTCTGCTAGAAACAGGTAAACCAAGGCACAGGCTTTACTAAGCTAAGAAAACAGTATAGTTATTTCCTGGGGTTTGCACATGTTCTTCGACCACGTCATCTACCCCCAAAGTGGCTGCTACTCCAACATTCATGTGGATTTACACAGCCGGCTCTACGCCACAGCAGACATGGCTGGGCCTCACTCATCTACCCTCAGTCCACCATGCAAATCAAGTGCAGACAGTTCCCTTTGTGGCCAAGGTCTGTGTCGGATGGTAGTTTCTGGCCATGAAGTGTATACGTGGCCAGGAATTTCAGGAAATTAACTCCCCAAGGACTGACCTTCAAACATAAGAGGCAGAAGTTGGCATATAAATAACCCAGTTTCCTCACCCCTCAGAGGGATAATTCAAAGGCATGTTCCACAGTTTCTTAGTCCCAAAAGGAGTGAGTTCCAGTTGTCCACAGTAATCCACTCATCAAGGTGCTTACATTGGCTTTCCTCTCACCCCCCGACCAGCTCCCTGGGATCTTTTTCCTAAACCAACCACTGACACTCAAATTCTCATCCAGGGTCTGTCTTTAGGGGGAACCCGAATCAACATACAGCAAACACCATCAACATCACTTTTATTGCCCAAAGGAACTTATATTTAATAACCAGCCCAGTTGGATTAAGGAAATACTTCAAGTAGCCTTGACCAGCGTGGTTTGGTTGGTTAGGGGTTGTCCCACAAAGCAAAAGGTCGCAGGTTTGACTTCTGGTCAGGTTACGTGCCTGGGTTGTGGGTTTGGTCCCTGGCTGGGGACGTGCAGGGGCAACTGATTGATGTTTCTCCCTCACATCAATGTTTTTTTCCCTCCACTCCCCTCTCTCTAAAAATAAATATATAAAAATCTTTAAAAAAAAATACTTCAAGTAAATATTATGAGTCATTCAAATTTAACTAATTTTCCCTAATATAAACTAAGGCCCTTAAGGAAAGTTTATATAAAGACTCATGCAGTACCTGCTTTTCAATCATGGCTTTTTCTTGCTTTTCTTTTTCTTGTTTTTCCTTTTCTTGCTTTTCTCTCAGCATCTCCTCCTTGGCCTTTCTCTTGGCCTCCTCTTCTTCCAGTCTTTTCTTTTCCTCTTCCAGTCTTTTCTTTTCCTCTTCCTGCTGCTTCTTTTCCTCTTCCTGCCGCTTCTTTTCCTCTTCCTGCTTACGGGTCTCCTCTTCTAGGCGAAGTCTTTCCTCCTCTGCCTTTCTTTCCAATTCCTCTCTCTCCAGCCTTTTGAGAACAGAACTCTTGTTAGAAGACAAGGACATACTCAGAAAGCAAACTGCCAAAGAACCAGGTGCTGACAGGGGGGGTGTCATGCACGACACAGTCACAGACACGTGCTCTTCCATTAGTATCTGCTTAAGAAAATGACTCACCCTTCCCAGAAAGCCACTCTGGCCCATATACTTAAAACAAAAAATTAACCAGGGTTGACTTTAAATTCTGTTATATAAAGAGACATGGTGTATTGATTTGTAAACATATTGTAATGAAGGCACAGATGTTCCCCGGTCAATCTACAAATGACCACAGCTCCACCATTTTTATTTAATGACAATTCTTTACAAACAAAAAAAATAAGTACTTAGACCCAACTCGAGCTATAGAAGATTAAGTGTCTCAATGGCCCCAACTGTGCCAGTTGGCAATTTGAGAGCAGTGACAATGAGCTCAAAAAGCTCACTTTGGGTTTTGATTAGTATTTGACTTCCGAAGCATGAAATGGAAGAAATGCTCAAAAGAAACTTGACATTTAATACAGAAATTAAAATATCTATTTTCCATTTATTGGGGAAATCTTTAAAAATCTGTCCTAGCTTTCATTCTTTGCCATATAAAATTAAATGGCATTTGGACATTTTTCGTCCACAGATGAAGCGTTGGTGATGTGATGATCACGAGCTCTAAGCAGTGAGGGGAAATTCTGTAATATCTCAGCACCTGGGTTTACATTTCTGCTGTTCTTCTTGCTCACATGTGCGCCCCTTCCATCACCTATAAGAAAGTGCCAGTTATCACACTCACCTTGCAGTGGGTTCCTCGCCGCAGTGTGACACACGGGCAAGACCAAGGCTGCGTTCTGATTGTGCTACTCACCGTATGACCCTCCCTTGGAAAGGGACTGAACATTGTGGATACCCATTTAAAAAATGGGGATAGTTACAGTATGGGCTCCGTGACACACTGTGAGAATGAAATGAGATAACGTGTGGGAAGCACTCAGCGCAATGCCTGGCTTTGGGTAGATTCCCAAATGCTAGTTTGTCTTATAATTTAAAATGAATCCTCTCTCCAACCTTTGAAGTAAATCTATAAATCTGTATGTTTTCTGGAAATTACCTTTACTTGGAGCAAGCCAGTCCAACCAACAGTGTCACTGATTTACCGGATGCTGTTATATTGTTATAAAAAGATTGAGACTTACAAAGAAGATCCTTCTATCCTAAGGGTTGGCTTCAGGAATCGTGGAGATAATTGTGTCAGAAAAAGAGATATTTTAAAAGGTAAAGAAATACTTGCACACATTATTTAACCTAAGACTGTAACAGTATGTGATAAACATATTCTACAGTAGCAGAGGCTGCAGTGCCTAAAGGTATTGCTGCAACAACTGAAATTATTAACAGATATTCTGGAAATCTGAGATTCCTCAGTAACTGACTGAGCACACCCAACCCAGGATGATCACAAGTGGACGTGTGCAGAACAAGATTTATCCAGACATTACTCAGAGAACTGTTTCAGTTCTCATCTCCTCTAAGGAGCTGGTTGTGACTGTCCCAGATAAGTTAATTCACAAACGATATGTTGTGTGTGAATAAATGCCCAAGCTGCTTCACTTTTCTCTTTATCTTCAGGATCTGAAAAGTCACTCTCTTTCTCTTGTTTTACCATGAGGACTTCGGAGGTGCCTGGTGCACACACACGCAGCGAGTATCATATCCTCTTGACCCCTAAGTTTCCATGATCATCCTTAACACAGATTCCCCCACACAGGCCCAGTAGCCCTGCTTGTCCCTCCTATCACAGAAGCAATTCTCTCCATTAACCACACCCTGCTTCCCTCAGAACTGGCTTTGCAGGTGTGAAAGTGAGTCCCCTCAATATCCTCTCCAAGGATGACCGTCCTTCCTCTCGTGCTTGAAACACCGCAGAGAACATGGATTCGGTCATGTCCCCACCACCCCTCTGCTGCAGCTGTCCCCACCCTGTCAGCCTTGCCATCATCACCCAGTTCCCTCCGGAGTTCGCTAGACCTGTGTACAGTTCTGGCACCCTCTCTGCCCCTGTTCCGGTCACCTATGCCAAACCTACCCCCTACCTACCCCCTTTCCTCACTGGGTAGAAAGTACCAGAAAGCTGTGTACCATGGTGATCACTCAGCAGATGCATCCCTACCCCCATCACCAGCCACTGGTGAGATCTTCGCTGAGCAACTCCCAACCTCTAGCTCTTCACCCCGCCCCCTCCCACCCTTTCACACTTACGCCACATCCCCGACACGTGCTCAGCCTTGAATTGTTCACTATTCCCTTTCTTATGTGCTTAAAAGTTATTATTTAAAAAAGCTTACCTTTAACCTGCTAAACCTTGCGTTTTATGAAACGCTCTCACTCTGTCCTTCAGCGCCTTCTCCCCTGACCCGTGTTGCATGTCACCGTGCAGTCACTTGTGTCTGCTCCCTCCTCCCTGTGCCCCAGGCCTCTGATCCCCTCCTGGGCACTCCTGGGATGGCATGGAGCCCACTCTGCGGCCCAACTCCCAGGCCTAGGTGGCCCCCAGGCCCCCTTGTGTCCTCCTGGGCTGCCGACACTGGTTAGAATAAGGCCCAAACAAAGCTGACTGGTCATCTGCACCTGGGCCTCAGCTGCCACTCCAGTGTTTTGGCCTCATCCCTCCTCCCGATGCCTGTAGAAACGGTCCAAGCCTCTACCTTTCCTCAGTGTTCACCGTCCTTCTTGGTTGATGGCATCACTGACTACTTTACAGAGAAGCCTGGGGCCACCAGTTGTGAGCTTCCTTAAGTTTTCTTGTCTATTGCATCGCTACTCCGAAATTCTCCTTCTTCTTCTGCTTAGATGTAGAGTATAGATGCCACCACTTGTGTCATTAACTCCACACTCTCCCGCACCGCATTCCTACCACTCCCCAGCATCTTCCTTCCATCGTTTCACCCTCCTACACTCACCTCTCCACGGCCTGCAAAAGCACTCAGGTCTCAGGCATCTCAAACAGCTCCTCCGCCCCCTGCCCCCCGCCTTCCACGCACAGCCTCTTAGCTTCCAGCTGACGGTTCAGGACCGCCGCCCTCCCACCTCTTCCACACCAGCTTAGTTCTCTGGTCCCCAGTTTCCCTCCGAAATCTCGGTTCACTCCTAACAAGACCAACAGCCTTTCCTCAGCCTCAACATGTCTTGCACACACAAGACAGCATTAAATGTCCCTCCTCTGAGGACCTCTCCCCAGTCCTGTGTGCAGGAAGCTCCCCCTTCCTGCCTCAGCTGCTGCCAGGCCCCCACCCTCTCCCCGACGCCAGATGGGTCCCGCCTGCCCCACCTCTCTCCTCAACAGCTGAGCGCCTGGAGGCTCAGCCAGAGGCGCCAGGTCTGAGTGCCAGGAGGCCCCGCTCACAGGGGCTGCCTAGCCTAAATGTCTTTCTGCATGGGCCTCCTAGCAGCTATTTTTAGCCTCTTTTAAAAAAAAATTTTTTTAATCCTCACCCAAGGACACTTTTTCATCTCTTTTTTAGAGAGAGGGGAGAGAGAGAGAGAGAGAGAGGGAGAGAGAGAGAGAGAGAAAGGGAGAGAGGTGAGAGAAAGATCAACTGGTTATTTTCTCATACACATTCTGACTGAGGATCAAACCCACAACCTTTTGTTATATGGGACAACGCTCCAACCAACTAAGCCACACCACTCAGGGCTATTTTAGTTGCTTAATGTGACTTCACGGGCTCTGTTGTGGAATCACAGTAAGATCGCTGGCCTGCTAGTTTCTGCTAGTGCCTCCCTCCCCCAGGGTGGACCTGGGCTCCGGGCTTCCTTACCCCAACTCCAAGAGTCCTGGATTTACATCTTGGATCACCCACGAGCCCAGGAGCTATGCCCTGCTCTGCGTGCTTACAAGAGAGCCCCGATGTCACTGCTGGTGGCGACTGGACCAGCTTTTGCTCTCTGTCCTCGGCCCCAGCTATCTGGACTCGTCAGCCCTTCTGTTCTGACTAGTCTCATCCCTGGCATTTTCCTCACCAGTTTGTGACAATAATTGGCTTTCCATGGTTTGGCTCAAGAGCTTTTATTTTTTTCTATTGTCTTTCATTTGGCAACCACTTTTCTGTGGCTTCAACTATTAACTGTAAGAACAAAACAGTGGTGGGATGATCTTATTCCAAGTGATATCCGTTGTATTCCAGCCCCAGGTTGTCTGGTGCTTTCTCACATCCCACGTGGTGCTATGCAAAGCTTCACATTCTGGCAAGAGAGAGGAAAACTGGTTTTCGGTCAAGTGTATTACTCTCATTTTTATCTAGGCCTCAGGTGTCTGCTCTACCTCCAGTCACCCGAAGAGGTACCTTTAACTTAGTTTATCTAAAATCAAATTGATGGTTTTTACCTTCTAAAACTAATTCTTTCTGTCTTTCCTTTATCAGTTGTGGGGGTCTGCTATTCTCCTAAGTCTTTAGTTTCAAACCTCAGCATCAGCTTTGAATTGGCTCATTTCTGCTGGGTTGCGCAAGTCCACAGACTGCAGCTGAACCACCTGATACGAACTCACCCTCCCTTTTCCAGGCCCACCTCCCCCATACTGTGCTAGCCCTCGACTGCACTGGTGCTTAGCGGGGCCTCTTCCTCCTCCTCGGCCTTCCTCCTACACGTACTGAGCACCAGCACCAGTGACCCAAGGGCTGCATCTCAGCCTTTCAAGGTGCTTACTAGGGGGAAGTGAGCCTGTGAACAAATGAGGCTGTGTTAGGCAGCCCACCAGCCGGGCTCAGGATGGGGCCAAGGGGGTGGAGGCGAGTTCTCTCCCTGGTGCAGGGCCAGAAAGGCTGCAGACAGGGAGCTAGGCTTGGCTCGACTCTGGAGAAAAGATGTGTCTGGCAAGGAGCATGAGTCCGTGTGGGGCGGAAGGACAGAGGAGGTGGAGGGGCAGGTGGTGACCAGGTCTCAAAGGCCTGTGGATGGGTTTGGGTGGATCCTGTGGGCAGGGGAGCTGCTGGCTTGTTAAAGAACGGGAGCACGACAATGTCACTTACGTGTGAAGTCACTAAGGACACAGTGTGAAGAGTGGACAAGATCTGGGAGAACCAGAGCAGGGAGCTCTGCTTGGATGCCACAGACAGCCCAGGTGAGAGACGACAGGGGTCGGAGCTCAGAGGGGAGGACGGGCTGGAGGAGAAGGGACAGGAGATCGATGCTAAAGAGGTGGCCTGGAAACACCTGGCAACTGATGGGACACCGAGGGGGAAGGAGAGGGAGGAGCTGAGAGCTGGCGGGGACTTTGGATTTGGGTGCCTGCAAAGGTGGGGAGAGAGCCTGGGAAAGAGAAAGGGAGTTTGGGAGAAAGATAAGGAGGCCTACGCTAGAAATGCTCGATTTGAGGTGCACATGGCACACACACAAGTGAAAGTAAAGGCAGTTGGAAATATGGCCTCTAGTGCTATCCAGTAGAGCTTTCTATGATGAGGGTGATGTTCTAAAGGTTTGTGCTGTCCATGGCAGCGGCTAGCCCCGTAGCTGTTGTACACTTGAAATGTGGCCAGAGATGTTGAAGAAAAGGCGAGAGAGGGTAGTTGCTGGCCGGTAAAGAACTTCACCTTCCTCAGCACACAGCTACCGTGCTATCACTTACCTGCTCAGGGCCTGCCATCACCAAGGCCTGTCATCTGAGGTCCTGGGATTCACCTTCACCTCCTGCGACCTCCCTTCACACACCCACCCAAACCAGCCTAAGCGCACCACTCAACAGAAACATCCGCCGCCGGAGGTGAGGGAATCATCAGAGAAGGCTGGAGTTGGAAGAAGGAACCAGCCAGACCCCCTCAACCGCTGCCCCCGCACCACTTAAAAATAATAAATCATCAAACCTGTAATCAGAGACCACAGAAGACTTGTCAAGGTCACTTCAAGATCGAGAATACTACTCTATTATTTATTACTCTCAATTCAGTGCCGGTCTACAAAGTGCTGCTTCCTGTCATGTTAATTCTCTAAATAGTATTGGATTGCACTCTGTGATTATTCTAAAAGCTCCCTTTATCAGTTTAGAGATAAAATCTACCTTGTCCTGCAACCCGCATTCCCTTTTGGATACAAAGATCAGAAAAGGAAGGCCGTCTATATTTGGACCAAGTGCCCAGTACTAACAATGCAGCGGCTCTCCAACTTTGGGGGCCTGGTGAGGCAGGACAGGGCCTGAGCCTGTGTGTTTTTGCCGCATTTCTGGGGTGATTTGGACACCCTCCCAAGCCCAGGGACCAGTCTTCTGTCATGCCCCAGGGCGGGAGCCCTGCCACTCATGGCTCCTGCGCTATGAGGCTGGCTTCCGCCCCCGTCCGGGGGGCCCCTGCTAACCCTCCTCTCCCTCCCTTGGCGCTGCGGGTTAGGGTAATTTGGGGAGAAAAACACGATTCAGGGAGCAGAATCAAAACCCTGACATCCAGAACCTCCTGTCTTTTCAGGGAGAATCTCAATCTATAAATAAAGCTCAAACTCCTTTGATGGGTCTATAAGGCCTGACCGGTCCTATAGTGCAAGAGGATAATGGGAAGCTGCTGGTAACTCTAGATCCAGGAGCTAGGAGTTTCCATGTCGTCTGAAAAAAGCAAAGTTCCATCGCTATTAGTGACATCTAACAACAGGTGCGGTCTCCTCCACACCTGTCAGGCAGACCTAGACCGAGCTGAGGCTTTATCCACTCCACAGCGCTAGAAAGAAAGGCAAGCTGCTCTTTCCACCGCAGCCTTTCGCACGAGATCTCGACAAAACTCTGAGCATGCCCATACCTGTCTTGCTCGATTCTTTCCGCCCTCTCCTGCTCCTTCTGCAGCCGGGCCTGTCGTCTCTTTTCAGCCAGGATCTTTGCGGCCTCCCCCGCATTGGTGGTGCCTGCAGTAGGCTTCCCTGAGGCTGTGCCAGACGAAAAGATCACGGGAAATAAGCGGTGATGGCACTCACATGGCCCCTGCCACTTGAAAGACCCTACCCAGTGGGGGATGGGAAATGCTACAGGAATGGCACAATTAGCCACTGAGCAGAGACGCTGCAATGGGCAGCTGTAACCCGAATGCGTTTCACAGTGGAGGGCAGCAGAAAGGCAAGGAGGAAAGCCAGGGCTGTGAGCAAGTCCCATGGCAGCCGCCCCCCCGCCACCCTCACTGCTGCGCCCATCTTGAACTTGCTGCACCCCTCACGGCAGCTTACAGGACTAAAGGAAGAGCCTCTCCGCAGGAAGTGCTGAAGCTGGCCCAATGCAGCAGGGGACTCTCGGGAGACTGAGGGAAGGTCTCAGGGGCAACGCGCAAGCCTGAGAGAGCACAGGGCACGCAGATGTCTAAGGTAAAACCCCGTCCCCGCTGTCTCCCTCAAACACGAGACTCCCACATGGATTGTGGATCAGGTCAGAGGGCGAAGAAGCCAGGACAGCTGAGGCTCAGTCGGTGTTGGTAAGAAGAGCCTACCTGCACTGGCCTCGGCTTTCCCTCCTACAGCCGCCTGCTTCTCGGTGACATTCTTGTCCACTATGTGCTTCTCTGGAGGTTCTTCCCCAAGTAGTCTGGCCACCCGCTGAGCCAAGGCCACTTCCCTTTCCTTGTTGCTTTTCTCTTTCTCCTCTTTCTTCTTGGGTATGTCCTGGCTGGAAAGGGTGGTTAAACGGTACTTCACAAAAGACTCTGGGTATGGTAGTTTTGTATTCTTTGGAGACTGTGGGCTTCCTCTGGCAGATGCCCTAGAAAGCAAAAAACATGCCAGAAAATAATTATGGCAGCTAACCATGGAACTCTGTTCCAAAGACACCTGGTTCCAAAAAGTTGAACAATTTCATCCTTTCAGAGGAGCAAATGTAAGGCCTAGCATACACTCAAAAGTCCCTGGCACACTATCATCCTAACAGGAACATATGGTGTCTGTAAGATGTCCCCGGTGGAAGGGACATTTTAGGAAACCCATTTGGTGACACCATGTCCTAATTTCACTTCACTTGGATGACAACATAAAGATGGAGTGTTAGGCATTTTCTCACCACCTCTTTTTAGATGGACACCAGAGCTGGATCTGGCTTTAGGGTGTAGCAATGGGCAAGCCAACTCCTTTTTTCCGTTGCAGCAAAATACTTGTAGCATAAAACTTACCACCTTCACCATTAAGTGTGCAGTTCAGTGACATGAGGCACCTTCACACCATAGTGCATCCATCCACAGAGCTCTGTTCCCATTACATACTAACTCCCCATTCCCCCCTCCCCAGCCCCTGGCAACCCGCTCCCTTCTGCTTTCTGTCTGCGAATTTGTCTATTTCAGGTACCTCACAGAAAGGGAATCATAGGGGGTTTATCCTTTTGTATCTGGCTTATTTTGCTCAGCATAATGTCTTCAAGGTTCCTGGTTCCTTTTATAAAAAAAAAAATTTTTTTCGCCTTTACTGAGATGCAATTGACATCTGGTTGAACTAAGTCAGTCAACAAGTGGGGAGAGGAGGTGCCTTTCTGGAGTGTCTTGAGGTTTAAAAGAATCTTTCTTGCTACTAGGAAGATGTAAAAGGGCAGGACAAGCCCGTTTCTACCCAGGGAAACACCGTTTCGTTAAATTCAGGAGCTTGTCCTATGCCTGGTGGAAGAAGGTCCATCACAGGTGCGCTGGGCTAACCCTGGCCTGTGGGGCTTGCTGCGTGTTCACAACATACCTAACCACCGACACCGAGTTTACCCAGAAGTTCGCACAGGGATGTGGCATTATATACAGAGTTCCTTTAGGAAGAACATGGAGTAAACTGCATGTAAATTACAAACTGTCACTCAATCCTATAGCAGGTTGAAAGACATGTAATTTCTAATGTTCAACTGTTTTTAATCTATAAAAACAGCAATAAAAATGGCAACTCAGTCTAATATTCAAGGCCAACTTCTCATCAGAGTACTAAGAGTTACCTAATAGGATCCTGATGATAAGGAAAATATATACGCAGATCAATTCAACTTGGTCTGGAGTTAGAAAACAATCCTCAGGCGGTGTGTGGACTGGGTAACATGCAGGCCAGTTTTCCAATGATACTCTCAGGCTGACAGGCCAGCTCCCAGCACGCAAGAGACACCTCCGCTCGGTCAACACCAGGCTGAGGGCCTCAGTAATGTGATCACTCACCCCAATGGATATGACTTGAACATAACTTGAATTTTTAGAAATCATTTTTTTGACATCAACTACTTTACTGATACGGGAACAGCTCAGATCCCACTTCCATGGTGGGCTGTCCGCCCCTCTCCAGCGTTCTGGTCTGCTCCCCAGCTGGACAGCTCTAACCCCAGGAAGAATTGCTTCGTACCGGCCACGCTGACTTCCCCGTGACACTCATCCACGCGGACGGGGCCCCCCCTCTGCAGATTGTTCTCCTTTCGTCCTTGGGCTCAGCTGACTCGGGCCCATCATTCCTCAGCAACCAGGCCTTCCTTTCCACATGCACTGTTATAACCCTGGTTTTCTCATCTCATCCCCAGACTCGTAACCCAATAAAAGTCATACACAGAACCCTCCTCCAAATATATATACACCAGGGTTTCTCCAACCCTGCCATTACTGACGTTTGGGGCTGGATCCTTCTTTGCTGTGGGGCTGTCCTGTGCACCGTGGGGTGTTCAGCAGCATCCCTGGCCTCAACCCATTAGATGCCAGTAGCCACCTCCCCTCCACCCCAGGTTGTGACCATCAGAAGTATCTCCAGACGTTGTCAAATGTCCCCTCAGGGGCAAGATCACTCCCAGCTGAGAACAACTGAGGAGAGACAGGCATATAGGCGCCCCCACACCCCTTCTGCTTGTGTCAAGCAGAGAGCATGTAACTGCTGTGGTTGAAGGGGCAGTGTCCCCAGACGCACAGTGACCCCGAAGCTTCCTGAGAGCCTGAGCTTGAGAGGTGATTACTAGGTGATTACTGTGTTTTAACAGACAGAATCACACCTGATCCCTCCCTGGATGATGGCAGCTCAGACATCCATGAACACCCATGGGCCAAAACTGGGTCCATGCTTCCTGGGTGCTGTCTACAGTGGCTGGTGTGTAGACAAATTTGTGTACGTACTTGTGTATATGGGTGTCTTTTAGTTGTTAAAACACAGTATGACACAGGTACTACTATCAGGGTCACTACCAGGTGAGGAAGCCAGGCTGAGCAAGGTTTAGGGGGCCACGGAACTGCGGCCTGAGCCCACGTCTCCCTGACCCCACTTCCCACAACGCAGCCCTATTCCATGCTGCAGTGGTGGCTAAGCCTGAGTTTGGGGTCACCAAGACCCCCAGATATTCATTGTGGAACTGGCATAGAGTAAGCACGCAACAGCTCTCCTCGTTGATTAAACATATGATCAAATAAAAATCTGAACTCTCCTCACAGACAAGGACGAACTTCCACTAAACCAGGAGGTCCTGTGCCGGGGCAGGCCACAGCCCTGCCCTGCCCCGAAGACAGTGCTCCACAGAGCACTTTCCCAATCGGCTGCGAAACCCCGTGTTTAGGTTCAAATCACCTGCACAAACATATGGCAGGTGATCTTTTGCTGAGCAACACCCTCCTTACATGTTGTCGTCCAGGACAGTAATGTTGTCATAACAGCCAGGAGAGTGTCTTGAGGGACCCAGTGTGATGTCTTGTGAAGATCAAAATGAGTCACCCATTCCCTGGAGTGTCATGCGCAGGGTGTGGCCAGGGAAGGGCAAAGAATTACCCTGGATTTGGGATTTGGAGAGAGGTGATGGACAGGGCGCTATTGTATGGCAGATGATGCAGACGGACAGCTTTCCCCTCCGTAAGCGTTCCTACCTTGATACATGAAATAAGAATTGCTGGCATTAGACAGACAGACAAAAAGCCTTTTGCTCTTCCCCCTTGCCTTCCTCCTCCTCCCTGATCAGTGAGACTGAGCAAGGTGCTGGGCACCTTCGAGTGCTGTCACTGGACCTGCCTACAGTGAGCCACACCCCTGGGGGCCTGCAAGGTAGGTGGGTGAGGAGCCCTTCTCCTACAGACGCAGCTCTCACCATGAGGGGCCCCCGGGCTGGACTGCAGGGAGCGGGTAAGAGGCCAGAACTGGCTGCAGGCCGAATCCACTGACAGCCCTCAGCAGCAGAAAGCCAGCATCTGGATCCCAGCATGACCCCCTGGTCTGGTTTAAGTGGCTCACTATCAGAAGGGAACGGAGCGCGATGGAGCTACACCCTCCATCAGTGAGCCTGCACCCCGCAAAGGGCAATGTGCGGCGGGCTCGCAGTCCCGAGGAGCAACGGCAGGACTGGCCTGGATGGAGAGGCTCTGACAGCTCGGGTCGGCTCCGCCCCAAGCAGCTTTGCCTCCGCTCGCTTTAACAGAACAGTCGCGTGTAGGCTCTCTTCACACCACAGACTATTATTCTAAATAAAACTGGGCCAGTTATTCATAAGCACACATCTAAAAATAATTTCTACCTGGAAAGTAAGGATGGATTCTTTGGGGGAAAAACTCAAAATGTTAAGTCTGTTTATAACCCCCTATCTCAGCTCCTGCCCAATAAACAGAAAAATTAGAGAAAACACACACATACTCCCTTCACATTAGAGAACAGGCAACTCATCGTTTTTTGTTTTTTTTTTAAAAAACAGTGAGTGACCAAAACACAGAAGAAAATCTTAGAAGTTTCCTATTTTATTTGCATATCTGTAGGCTTTCCTGCTCATTCTGCCACTTCACTTCCCTACACGACTGAGTCCCCGCCAGGCCCCTACTAGGCCCGGGTATCTTGAACCAAGTAGTGACGTGGGTCTCGCGGGTCTCGCAGCCCTTAAGGCTCTCTGGCCAGCCCTGCTCACACAAAGTTTGGCAAAGTCACCCTCCTGCCAATTTCCTAGAAGTAAGTATCTTGGCTGATGAAAGAAATTAAGTGCAAATTAATCGAGGGGAGCTCACTGTGCTTTCATAGAGTTTTATTTTTAAGTGCTTTCTTGTCTATTTAAAAAGGATCTATTTGATCACCATGAGAACCCAGTGAGGTAGAGAGGAAATTACTGTTAACCATATTTTAGATAAGAAAACCTAAGTCCTAAATGCTGAAATGACCTTTCCTAAGAGATGTCAACACATGAGAGAGCCAGGGCTGACATCCAAGTCACTGATTCTTCATCTTGCTTTTTAACAGCTCTTCCACTTTGATTTTTAAAAGTTCAATACCTCCAGTGGTTAAAAATCTCACAAAGGGAGCTTAAATTTTGTTGGGGTGGTAGAGCTTCCTGGTGTGCGAGGCAGAATTATGTAACATTTGAAGGTTCCTGACTATAGAAAACATGGACAAACACCTCTGTAACCAGAGCAGCAAGAGTAATTCTCAGGAGAGGGTTGTCATATTTCTGAGCATGAGTTCACTGCAGAGCAGAACCCCAAAAGACTTTTTTTCTCCACAGCTTGGAATCTAGTTCTATTTTATCCAAAGCCACTTGACTCCAGGCATGGCAAACACAGCCCGCACACAGGATGGGAGGAGTCTGGCCTCATCAGCACCGGTCCACCAATATCCTTTTTTTCTTTTTTTTAAATTTTATTTTTATTCCAGAGAGAGAGGAAGTTGGGGTGGGACAAGGGAGAGAGAGAGAGACATTGATGTGAAAGAAACATCTATCAGTTACCTCTCATGCGCACCCCAACCAGAGACTGAACCCGCAACCTAGGCATGTGCCCTGACAGAGAATCAAACCTGTGACTTTTTCGTTTACAGGACAACTCTCCAGCTGAGCCACACCAGCCAGGGCTTGGCTGGCATTCTCTAAAATCTATGTTTATGGTCATAGCTTATTCTTTCCCAGAGAGGAAAAGAACAATTTTATACCAGAGAAGCCTGTGGATACCACCTTAACACAGTGATCACAGTTGTCACAGCCAGGAATGTAACCATCTGACATGCTGGCCTCCTGATATGATGTGCTGAGAAGAGGCTGACATCCCTCCAAGTGGGGCTCCTGCCAACTTTATTTTTTTAAGGTTTTACTCATTTATTTTTAGAGAGAGGGGAAGGGAGGGAGAGAGGGAGAGAAACATCCACGTGTGGTTACCTCTCGCACACCCCCTACTGGTACCGCAGCCCAGGTCTGTGTGCTGACCGGGAATCGAACCAGCAATCCTTTGGTTCGCAGGCCAGCACTGAACCCACTGAGCCACTCCAGCCAGGGCTCAACTTTCAACTTAAAGAAACAGCACAGAAAACTGAAATGTAGAGAAGGTACGGAGACTGGGACCCCTACTGTGGCACCTGACATTCCCACTGGGTCAAGGGGAGGAAGAGAGAATGCTGCAACTCACTGCTGACCCCAGGGCAGAGTTGCATCTGAGGTGGCAGTGCCCTTCCACCTCCAGTAAGGCTTGGAGAGCCATGCTCTCAGCACATCACCTGCCAAATTCTGCCGTTAGGCCAAGTCCTGTTCTTATCAGTCTTAACATCGTTTCAAACTTCTTTTGTAAAGCTGGCAGGCAAAATAACCTTTCCCCTTTTTGGAAATACAAAAGTGACATGTGATTTTTGAGATAATCTTGAAAATACAAATACAAGCAAAAGAAAGGGATAGGGAGGATAAAAACCTCATTGTCCCAAGAATCACTGACTGTCTACATGTATATACATTCACCAATGTGATCAGGAATATGCCTATTAAATATCTCTCGATCTTTTAAAAGTTATTAATCTTATATCTGAAAATCCATCTTAATATTCATAAATATGGAAAATATGCACTTGATAAAAATGGAACCATGTTCCGCATACCAATTTATAACAATATCCTGATCATCTCTCCATGCAATTACATAGTTTTTCATGACTTTTTATGGCTGTATAGCACTCCACTATTTGGATGTATCATAATCTGTTTAGCAATTCCCTGTTGAGCATATTTATGTTGTCTTCTATTTTACACTACTAAAGCAAGGCTATCCTTGTACTATTAAAAAAAAAAAAAGGCACCGAGTCTACTGAGAGCTTGCTTCCAAATATTGAATTCTCTCTCTATAGAGAGGGCAACCAACCCCTTGTTCATCTTAGTGAAACTTACAATGATGACGATGATGATGAAGAAACTTGCCAGCTATTATCCACAGAGAGAATATGAGTCAATATCCTGGAAAGAGAGGGGAGGAATCTGGAAAAATCCCAATGGGAACAGGCTTTTCTTTCTGTTAATGTCAATGTCCCAAGCTATCACCAGAGTAGCGCCATGTGAATGGAAGGCTCAGGAATAAGACCAATTGAGATCTTACAGCCCACCTCATAGAGTTAAGATTTTGTAAGAGAGCATAATCAAAGGCAGGCAACACAAGCACAGAAAGGATATAGTGGGCTTAAAAAATTAACAAACCAAGATGCTATTCATTTAGCAGTGCACTATGGAAGTCTTTTCCTTGTGCAGGGTAGGTGTAGCAGTAGCAGAAATTTGTAGTCTATATAAACCATAGTGGTCTCTGAACAAAATAATAATAGTGAAAACGTGTCTGGTGGAAAGCAACAAATTAGAAATAAGAGTTGCTGTCACCTTGAAATATTTTAAAGAAATTCCCAAGTGTTCATTCAATTTGTGTTTTCTCCTACGTTCTCTGAGCCAAACTGATTCACTGAACAAGTTTTATATGATTCTCTCTATATAAAGAGTTTCCTCTTTTTCCAAATTAAAATCATATTTCTCTTCCTCTCTCAGTCTCACTGAAGAGGTTTCCATTCCACTGCTGGACTGAGTTACTTACCGAGTCATTCTTGTCAGTCACTATCAGTAAAATACATTAATGACTTAAGACAGAGCCACAGAGTGTAAATTTGTTTTCCAATTACAGTTTCACTGGTGAGTTCACCCAGTTCTTAATTTTAAAAAAGGGCTTCATTATAAATAATCACACTGCTAATGGTGCCTGACAAGTTATTATCGCCTCTTTTAATGAGACAGGCCCAAGCAGAATGCAATCGCTTCACTCTGGATGCAGTCGAAGGAGGAAGGGGGGAAGAGTGTCAGAAAAACAGAATGGAACTGATGGACCTAAAGAGGAAACGCTGAATGGATCATCTCGGTAACCAAGTCTCATACTTACCAGCAACGAGACCCCTTAAGAGCCTATCGTTTACCTGGAAGATACTCAGAGAGAGGATGTAAGCCCAGCATCCCTCCTGCCACCCTCTCAGGGCGGGCTGAGCCTTGCGTCGACTGCAGGAGGCACACCCCGCACTGTACTGCGCCCCACCCAACTGCTTTATTTGTGCAGCTGTCACAAAGGGGGAAAGATGCTCACCTGCATGCCACGGGTGAAGATGACCTCTTAATGTTGGCCCCGGGAAAATCACGTCTTTTCACAGGGGACGCAGGGCTCCCGCTGGAAAAGGAAGCTGTTGGTTGGGGCCCCTTTTTCATCTTCTCCACCTGTGGGGGACACAGAATAGGACGCCATGACCCACAACTTTAATTTCTAGAACTATCCCAGGTGGAAGCAACGCACAGCTTTCTTTCAGAAGGGTCTATCTGAAGCTACAGTGCTTCCCACAATAGGAGGATCTGCAGAGAAGCACCATGAGGTCAGCATATTTAGGTGACTTAGCTAAATAAAAAATAAATTCAGCCTCAAGATGCACTGATTTCCTTGTCCTTGATATCTTGAGTAGAGCAGACAACAGAACCATACTCTGGTCTTGGATACAGGGGTTAACAAAAGTAGGTTAAATTAACAGCCACCCCACCAACCCCTCCATGTCTTCCCCTTAGTCTCCCTCTGCAGGAGGCCGGAGGCACAGGCCTGGTCCGCAAGGTGGTCCCTTCTCTCCATACCGCGCTTCTCTGCGGCAAACCCTCGCTTGGTCTCCACACCCACATATGTCGGCCTCCTTCCACAGCAATCCACGCTACAGTAAAAACCAAGGGTCTGAAATGTTCACTTCTCATGTGAGAACCTCAGGATTTAAAAAATAAACATGGTGTTATAAAAATAAGTACCCAATAGTACAGTAACGTGGCGGTTTTAAAATAAGTGTACACATCATCCGGTGCTCTCCCTCCAACGGGGGGAGCTCAATCCCTGTGTCCCTGAGTGTGGGTTGGTCTCAGTGACTTGCAAAAGTGATGTTGTGCACCATCTGAGGCTGGCGCAGAAACATGCTACGGCTGCCCCTGTGCTTGCCCTCTGATCTCTTGCTCTGGGGGAGACCAGCTGCCACGTCACTTGGACACTCAAGGAGCTCTATGGAGAGGCCCACGCAGTAAGGAATTGAGGCCTCCTGCCCACAGCCATGTGAGCGAGTTGGCATGGAGAGCCCCGGCCAAGCCTTCAGGCGGCTGCAGCCCTAGCCACCAGCCTCACCGCACCCTTGTGAGAGACCCTGAACCAGAAGTACCCAACTAAGCCACGCTCCATTTCTGACCCAAAGAACCAGTGAGGTAGTAACCATTTGTTTTAAGATGCTAAGATCTGGACTGATTTTTTTACATAACAAGTGACGACTAACAAAATTAGTGTAGTGTATAATTTCTAAATAAATATACTTAATTGGGGGTACCTGATCAACATTTGTTTTGCTTATGGTTGCAGTGTAACAGAAAACATTTTTCAAGGTCACTGTTGTGAGTGAAGCCCGGCTTAGAACCTCAGTTCTGGCTGCCTGTAGAGACAAAGCTGGCCCGCATTCAGATGCCCTTAAAGCAGCAGAGAGGGGACACTCAGAACATCCCTTCTGACTCGTGTCCTCTGGAGGGCAGGCTGTAAGGAGGACAAGGTATTGCTCCAAGGCAGTAAGATTTAGGAGGGTATAAAAAGTTAAATGCTTTTCAAAGGTTGGCTGAAATTTTTAACTGACTCTTCCCCTTGAGCAGTCCCTGGACATTGATGAACAGAGGCCCAACTCAGGTCAAGTGCAGGGAGCAATCGTACAGTCAGTTAAGCGCATCCTGAGGGCGAGTGGGCGGGTGTAAACATACCCGAGGGGCCTCTGCTTCTGCAGGGGCTGCTTTCCAAGCCTCTCCTCCAGCAAACGGCGATGCAGTCTTCTTCTTTTCAATGGACCGAGTTGGGGATGACTTGTAGACATATTGATGAGGGCTGGCCGTAGCTACACGAGGACAGGCACGAAAAACTAGAGAGTTACAGTATAACAGCCAAAAGGATAGGGAGCATAGATGGAAAAAGTAGGGCAAAGCAAGGAGTTGGGGAGAACACATTTCTGTTAAAACGTGGCACAGGCAATCCATAGTCTCAAAATACCACCCTACTTTTTCTCAAGTGCACAGAAGGGCCTCCATGTTAAAAGAACCCACGCTCAATGTTCAAGAGTCCAGTTCATTTCAGGAGTTCAGAATCTGGGCGTTGGAGCCAGGCAGACCTAACACTGTCACCTAGTAGCTGGATCACCTTGGGCAGGTTACTTAACCTCTCTAAACGTCAACTTCCTTGTGTAGAAAGGCTTAACATAGCAGACCTGACTACTGTCTTTGGAAAGACCTGCTTACAAAGTTGGTCCTTGGTCAGCATCTGGGAATTCAAGATTTCAGAAGGGTTCCCACCATTAAGTAAACAGTAGCTCACTGTACCTAAGCTGCTTGTGCAAACATGACTTCTTGTGCTTTCCTTCTGAGGGTCTGGAATTTGGGTATGTGCCTGGCAGGGGGTGCCTATATGACCAGCCCCCAATAAAAACCCTAGGCACAGAGCACAAGTCATTGCTTGGAGAATGTGTCCTGTGTCACTATCCTGGGACAGGACTGTGGAAGCTTGTACCTAGTCTTCCCCAGACTTTGTCCCCTGAGCCTTTTCGCTTTGCTGATTTAGCTCTGTAGCCTTTCCCTACGACGAATCGTGGCTATGAGTTCTCCTAGAGAATCACCAACCCTCAGAGAATCCCTGACCTCCTGACACATCCCCCTTCTCAAAACGGGAATACTTCCTATCTCCTGGGAATTTTTTATTTGTTTGAGAAAGTCACATACCATAAAATTCACCCAATTGAAATTTAGTGTTTTTAGTATATTCACAAGGTTGTGCAACCATAACTACAGTCTAATTCCAAAACATTTTCAACGCCCTCAAAAGAACCCCCGTACCCATGAAGCATTCACTCCCCTTTCCCCCCTGCCCCATTCCCTAGCAACTACTATTCCAGACATTTCATATAAATGAAATCATACAATTTGTGGCATTTTGTGTCCGGCTTCTTTCATAAGAGCATAATGTTTTCAAGGTTCATCATGTAGCATGAATCAGTAATTCATTCCTTTTTCTAGCTGAATAATATTGCACTTTATGGATATACCACAATTTTATTTATCAGTTCACCTGTTGATGAACTTTGCGGTTGTTTACACTTTGTGGCTATAATGAAAAATGCTACTAAAAGTATTAATGTACAAGTTTTGGTGTGAACATATGTTTTCAGTTTCCTTGGCTCTATACCTAAGAGTGGAATTGCTGGGTCATATAGTAACTCTGTGTTGAACTTTCTGAGGAACTTGGCCAGACTGTTTTCTAAAGTGGCTACACCATTTTCATTCCCACCAGCAATTTCTCTACAGCCTCACTAACACTTTATTTTCCTTTTTCTCTTTGAATTTTAGCCATACTAGTAAAATGTGAGGTAGTATTTCATGGTTTTTTAAAACTGTTTTTTATTTACTGATTTTAGAGAGAGAGGGAGGGAGGTGGGGAGAGGAAGGAAGAGAGGGACAGAGAGAAAGATTTGTTGTCCACTTATTTATGCGTTCACTGGTTGATTCTTGTATGTGCCCTGACTGGGGATCCAACCTGCAACCCTGGTGTAGCTCTAACCAACAGAGTTACTCAGCCAGGGCCTCATTGTGATCTTGCTAACCATTTTCCCAATGACTAATTATGTTTAGCAGCATGTCATGTGCTTACTGGCCATTCATATATCTTCTCTACAGAAATAGCACTACTACTCAGAAACAGCTGGAACTAGGTAGAGAACTATACGTCATTCATGACATCTCTCTGAATACACTATCTTGGGAACTGAGACCAGACCTACCCTAATGTGGACTCAGTGTTGCTCATGTGCAAACAGAGGATGCCATCCCTCATTAATCTTGCCATGATGATTTGACCCACTTTGGTCAAGGAAGGGCTTGGATGGCATGACCCGGTACTTCTCAGAGTACAGTGCACAGGTCTGCTGGGTCCTGAGAGTCTGCCTTCCTAACATGCTCCCAGGTGATGGCGACGCTGCAGGTCCACAGACTAGCCCCTGAGTACCGAGGCGCCAGATATTTGTTAAGCTCTCTTACTGTACCAACCATTGTGCTATCTCATTTAATCCTCATGTCAATTTAAAATTAATTCATTTTATACATGAGGAAACTGAGACCTGGGGGGGAGGTTAATTAATGTATCCAAAGTGGTAAAAAGTAGCAAGTGATAGAGTTGGCTATAAGTATTCCAGAGACTGTGGTTTAAAGTCTACTTTGCCAAACCGTCTCTTAACAAAAGATCAGTAACTTCCACAGCTCCTGAAAAAGATTTTTCCCTGATCCATATGCCCACGACGATAAAATAATTCACTCACCTTTGTGACATTTAAAAGAAAAGAAATATGGCAATAGCAAAACACTGGTGGGGAGAAAACGTTAGTACCAGTTGAAGACATTTCACAAAGCTAGCAAACGTGAAGCAAAATACAAACACTCCAGAATAACTCAGAGGCCGAACAATACCACCTCTGTCAGTTTCCTTCGTGTCGCCAGCTTGGCCTCTTTTACCTTCTTCACTCGACTGCTCAGAGAGTATGACTGTACTTCTGCTTCTGGCTAAAGAAGCCTGGGTGGGTGCCAACAGTCGCATAATGAGAAAGTTTTCCATGGGAGAAATGTGCATGCGATGAGCTGAGGAATGGAATTGAGGAAAAATGATAAAAAACAAAAGAAAAAAGAAATGAAATGAAATGTTTAAAACAACACAGCGCATGATGCAAATTAACTTTTTTGGGCGGTAGAATGAATGTGGAAAATAAAAATATTCTAGCACAGGATGGCTTTGGAGTGTGTTGTAGTAAAAATAAAACAAATGATGTGCCATTTAGAGTGTGAAAGAGTGTGTTAATCCTCTTGGGAGCCGAAATACATTCAATATGCTAACGCAGTATTACCTGTATCGCTGTTAGAGCATTAGCTCATCTCCCATGACATAATATGGACTCAAGAAACCATTTACTCACCAAGTAGATCTAGCATTGAAAAAAGGGTTACTTCTACAAAACGTGTTTTAGGGCCTCTGTAAAGACATTTTTCATAATACACTGATTTTGCTCATGTGTAAATATGCATCCTTTCATACTTTTTCCATGTAAATAAGGACAAAATTAAATAAGCACAAAAATAAAAATAGCTAAGTGATTATCAGCTTTAATGGAAGCAGTAATATTCATAATCCAAAATTCTGTGACTTCAGCGTCCTTCTGATGGTTTTAGAGTGGATGATAAGGTAATGGATTAACTTTTCTACTTTGTACTTTGTACTTTTGTACTTTGGGTACCCGGTGGCCAGTAAATGGTTTGGGAATTAAAATTTTCAATTTATAATTCACAAGCAGATAATTTAGCTGCCAGCAAAATAACATATTGGTATCTTTTCATACTAATCAATGCAAACATGAATTTAACATCAATAAGTAAGCATGTGAATTCATGAAAATATATGGAATCCATTTGCTAATGGAATAGCTATATAGAATTTAAAATGTGTATATGTTTTATTATCTAGCTCTTAATTAATTCAAGGTTTCCAGTGCTTCCCCATGAACTGTATCAGAGATCAGCCACAATGACACTTACAGGTCTCTGTGCTGGAGGCGCAAGGTCGATGCCATTGAAAAACAACCAGGAAGAGACACTGGCTTTTTCAAAGTCACAAACGTCCTTCTGTTGGCCCTTTGGTGATGACTGGATGTGTTAAATATGCCATTGGCATCCCGCTCTTCCATGACGCTTTAAAATACACTTTTGATGCATGGAGAACTACTCTACCTTCCTTAACCTACATACTCTGAAAGGTCTCAGTTCAGACTTTTAATGACCTATTTGAGCCTCTACTAAACTCTGGAAGTTTTAAATCTATCCAGTTTGTGGCTCTGGCACATGTTCTATACATGTCATCTCCCAGCTCAAAGCAGGGTGCCAGAAAAGGCCATCTCTCCTTTTCCCCTTTAAAGGCTTCATTAGTTCTGCACTGTTGGGCAGGCCTGCAAACCACAGGCAGTAGCAGAGCCCTGTTTTTTTCACACATCTAAATCTCCCATGTACCTCTGCCTCATCAGTTCTGCCTTTCTGGCTAATCAATGATATCACACCAATAATTGGGCAGTTGTACCGGTCACATCTGCTCACTGGCCAATAAATTCCGGGGCAGGCAACTCCTGCATACACTGTAGGAAACGGAAGTCTCTTTCATGCAAGGAGAACAACATTCATTCCTGCTTCTATCAACCGTGATCTGGCTCTAAAGGGTGATGCCACTTTCCAAAGTCCCATTAGTGAGGTCCTGGGGCTGTCACATTCACACCACAGGGCTAGGGCAATGGAGGTGTTTGCAGAAGGCTCGGGTCAGGAGTGGGGGCTCTCATGAAGACCGACACTAGGACATTAAGATGCTCACACTAGAAAGAAGAAAACTGGAGAGATCAAGTCTACATGATCACTTGCCTCGTTCTGGGGAATACGATATTGCCGCAGTGGATGAGGACAGGCGCTTACTCATGGGAGTCTCCGTCTGCTTTGGCAAATTCATAGTTGATGTTGAAAGCTTCTCACGGGCTGCAGAGAAATGCATTGAAGACACTGCTACACACACCACTGTAGACTGAGAAACACAGACCCCAGCGTTCTCTCCGTCATCCACACTCCTTCTAAGCCACTGTGACACAGCACACTGCTTCTAGCACCCTCCTAGCTACCTAACCTATCTACAAATGCCCAGGCCCCGACAGCCATTGGTCTGAAGCATGATGTTCTCTTCCACTTCTAAACTGTTCTTCTCTTTGATTTCATCCAATCTCACTCAACTGTTCAACTAAAGCCATGTTAATCCCACCAGCAAATCATTTATTTCCTTGTGTCCAGGGGCTTTTATTCAGTATATTCAGATTACATGAAGACATAATGAACCTGGACTCAGAGACAAATCAGCACCAGGAAATTTCTATGGCCTGCGTCTGCATGAGCTGAAACCGGACTTTTTCTGAAGGTTATCTATAGCTTGGGTTGGAAGGAGAAGTCATTTGTAAGACAAGTTCTAGTTACAGCAGAACAACTTTAGTAGGTGGTTTCTTCCCCTTATCAAGTGATGGGGGTCACAATGGCTATTTTTCAAATATCATGACTGCTTATGGTTAGGATGTCAACATGTGGTCCCAGGTTTGGTGTTCTTAATTTCCAGCTGTTTAGAGTGGTATCTAAAATGAAACCTGTGCAGCAAATGAAGAGGTACAGAGAGTGCCCTGCCAAGCTATACTATAGCTCAAGGCAAAGGAAAGATGTGCGCCCTGGCTTGCAAGGAAGCAAATTTATCAATAAGATTCTCAAAATCTACTTAAACTCCTCTCCTCATGTTTTCAAATGAGATAACTGCCATGTTTGACTGTCTTCTGACCCAGAGATGATCTTAAAAAAATTTTTAATTGACTTAAGCTAAAGTAAAATTGTAAGTTCTGTTTTGGTATAAATAAAATATTTAAACTTAAAATTATGTTTTTTTTTTTTAGAGAGGGGAAAGGAGGCAGAGAAACACCAATGTGTGGTCACATCTTGTATGCCCCCCACCAGGGACCCAGCCCGCAACCCAGGCATGCACACCACACTTGGGAATCGAACCAGTGACCCCCTCGGTTTACAGGCTGGTGCTCAATCCACTGAGCCACACCAGCCAGGGCAAAATTATGTGAGCTTTACTACACTTACTTTTCAGTTTTTTTCCAGTATTTCTGCAACTACTTTCAATGCTCTGAAAAAAATTAACTATTGGAAAGGACATCAAGCCGTGTATATAGATAGGGGTACACAGTTCTCCCTTTGCCTCAGGCTCTGATATGGCTCAGGATGGCACTGTTCTTTAGAAATTTGATACTATCTTGAGAGAGTAAGATTTTTGGTGCCCTCTTAAATTGTGTGCCCGAGTCAAATATACTTGCCTCACCCTGGCCTGGGCCCTGGGCCCTGGCTGTGATCCCCGAGGGGTGATAATGATCATTTCTCTGTCAGTGGAAGGCCAGTGCCCACACTACAGCTCACTCGGTACGTGCAGCAAAGCCTCTGCTACTCAGTTATACCAATAAATATTTTTCTTTGTCAAAGGAATTCTGGAAACCAAGGATATTTATTCTTACTGCTATGAAGTGACCTTCTGCATTGCTGGTAAATAGTGCATCCCTTTTACCTCTTGTTTTCCCCTTTGCCAGCCAAAGGTGGATTGAATTTCTAAAGTTTTGCTAATTCCCAGGCCTGTATCCAAAGAGAGGTGCAATCAAGAACAGAGCCAGCTGATCTTGTTTGGGTCCCCAGTGTTAGTACGGATGAACTCCCTATCACTCCCTCTCAAACACCTCTCCGAGGACCCATGGCATGAATACCCATAAGTCTGTGTGATTACCCGGAAGTGACTGAAACACAACACTTCCTAATGTCCAAACCGATGACTAATGAGAATGTGAGAGATCGGAATGCACAAAACTTAAACACTGACAAGATTTTCAAGGCAGAAGTCAGTGAGCTAAGGATGACATGTCTCCAAAGCACTAGGATGAAAGGCATGCAGAGCTCTGCGATGACAGGAACAAAGAAATATGAGCATGTCATTCACATCGCTAGGAAAAAAGAACTCCAAGGGGTCAGACTAAGAAATTAATTGCAAAAGTGCTTGAGACACACACAGTGATGGAGGAGGGTGGTCAGAACAGTCATCACAGAATGCCATGGCATGGTGATGCTCGGATATACCATTGGTGGACTCGGCGGCAGCAGCGGTTCCTGGGTCAGGAGGGAGGGTGCTGGCTGCTAAACCTAGAGGAGGGGGTGGAGTGTTTTCTGATTCACCTACACAGCAAAAAATCAGAGAAAGGGAGGTAAAAGAAAAAGTCCCAATTTCTGGTTGACTTACTCTCTACTAAGGAAATTAGAAAAAGTAGCTGAAATGGGTTGACTTCTCAAAAACAGAAAAAACAAAGTATATTCACTGATAAAAGGTTAAATACACAATACAGCGAAGTCAAGAAACTGTAATATAAATGTAAAACCTATTTGCTTTCAGAAAGAGCCAGTATACAACTCCTGCGAATAGAATGACAAGAAGACAGACACCGAAGGGGAGAAAGCCACTCAGACTAGTAACAATCCACCCATTAAAGATTTAAAAATTTTTAAATAAGTATGAACTGGATAATGAAATAAGTCATCTTGAAACAGAATTGAAAGAGCAACAAAAATTAATAATGACGAGGGCAAACCGCCAGCCCCCTTTTTAGAGGGTAACTGCTGCTCAGCCTTTGCGGGTCATGCTGCAGCGGCAGCTTAGCCTCCTGCCATTGACCTTCCCTGAAACGAGACTGTCCCAGGGCTTGCCAGGCGGATCGGGTTAACCAGACTCTGCATTCATTTTTCTTTGCTTTTCTTTTGCTTTACCTCACAGCCCAGTTACTGTATTGACTGCTGTTTGCTAGCAAAAGGAATGCACTGATCCCCTTCACCAGAAACGCATACACCCGCAGCCTGGCAGTTTGAAAACATCGCATCTGAAAAAGGTCTCTATCAATTGTGACAAAGCACCCCCTTAGACCCTGCAGGCTGGGCTCAGGACTCCCGCCTGCCCTGAGGCCCCGCAGTGCAGGGACAGTCCTAAACTCACCATCTCGTCCTCCAACCGTGAAGGTCTGCGATGCTCCTCCCGATGTTCCTCCCGACGTTCCTCCAGACGTTCCTCCTGACGTTCCTCCAGATGCTCCTCCCGATGATGATGATCCTCCCCATGAGTAACGCTTCTTCATCTCCAGCTGCTGGGAGCGCTCCAGGGACCGGCGCAGCATCGCCTCCAGCCGCTCCTGCCAGGTGGCGCAAGGGAGAGTGAAATTAACACAGCAGACTCAGTTCCGGGGTGGGTCACCAAGGGGGGCTCTCTGCTTAGCATCCAAAGCCCAAGGCACACGTGCTCTCAGCCACACCAGAACCTTCTCAGTGGATGGAGAGTACACAACGCGGCTGGTTTGATCCCAGCCTCAAGAGCTCATCTCCGGGAGAGGCTGCAGCAGCCAGGTCCTGATTTGTTTAAGAATAATGCTAGACAAGCATTAACTCCTTGAGGCCTGTTGCAAGTCCAGGTTTGCCCTACCTAGTAGAAGAACTGGAATTGTCCTCTAGAACCAACTGAATGCCCTTTACTTGAAATGCATAAAACATTCTGATTTGAGAACATTTAAATTCAAGTATACTTTCAATTTTATAGCTTTAAGCCTAACTTTCTGGGGTGCTGTGTGACTGTGGGACTTATTTTGCAAAGCCCCATTCTCATTTTATAATTCTTAAAGGGGGAGGGGGTCGATTGTTTTCTACATTGTAACACTTTTCTGCTGTACAGTTTTTTGGGGAATAATGCTACACATGACAAAATTTAAAAGAGACAAGAGTAGGGAACCTTCTGGCCACAAAATAAAGTGTCTATGCATTCTCACAGTTAGATGGGAGGAGGGGGGGAAGAACTAAACAGTTTCTGGCCAGAAGAGAAAAACAAGCAGACTTCTCTCTCAACAGAGCATTTATCGAAGGCACTCTCCTGTATTAACGCTGCTGACACTTTCGTAAAGTTGGGCCTGACTGCAGGCAAGGATCTCCTTGGCACTGGAGTTCCAGTTCTACACTCCTCACCGCCTCAATGACACTGCAAACACTAACCGCTCTCCCCGCCTCCCCACGGAGAAAGCCAAAGCAAGGTAAACAGTTACACCCTGTCGCCCTCTTAAAACCCACCCTGAGGTGCTCCAGGAACTGCGCTCATCCTAGCCTGACTCCAAAATAAAAAGATATTCTTTACTCCTGGCTTAAAAAAGCAAGCCAAATTAATTTAGGGCAGCACCAACTGAGTAACCATGACTTAAAGATCGGGGAAAGGCTTCCTTTTTTCACTCACTAGAAACACAGAAAAGTCACTTAGGAGATGCCTGGACCTGGACCTAGAAGTTGAGCATTCTCCACATCTCGGCCTCTTCTGGATAATTTCTCTCTGAATGACCCTTCGCTAAGAGATGGCCTCTCCGGGGACCTGAGAGCAGACAGGGGATTTTTTTTTTTTTTTTTAACTCCTGGGAGTATCAGATTTGAATTTGGTCTAGTTTTTGGCTGAGGCTCTACAATCGTGAGTTTACATTTCCTGAGTCGCGTCCTAACAACCCTGTCCCCTTAAATTCTGAGAGCCCACCCTGGGGGTCTGTCAGGGAAAAGCTGGGGGCATTGGGAGGATTTGTATATCTTGACTATTTGACACTTGAGGTACAGTCGCTCGGGACTGGGCTGAATAGTATTTCATTATATGAATTTAACATAAAGAATTTCAACCAATGATTTAATTTGAAACCCTGCACCTGAGAGTAAATTTAATATGGAGTCCGTTATAAGAAGGATCAGAAGGACCTCACAAGGTAGACCCTCCTCAACTAGGAGATCAATGAGAAGAAAGAACACTAACAGCCCTCGGGCCAACCTTATCTAGGGGCATGATTAGAAGGGAATGATCACCCAAAGCCAGACCTACTCTTGAACTGGACAGTTACTTTTAGAAAAAAACACCTCTCCATCTCCCATCAATCCACTGAGCGGCTGCAAATTCCACCATTAGAGATTGATTTCTTTGAATCATTAGTAGGCTTATGAAAATAAATCCATCCCTGAGAGAAGACACAATCACTTTGTGTCATCCACTTTTGGCAAGATGATGAAAAACAGGTAGTAAGTAACCAAGCTTTACGGTAAGGGGATTCATAGAACTCAAAGTTGTCAGAATGGGGTGATTCAGACATCAAAACAAAACTCGTTCATTTCACTTTTTCTTAGAGGTTAGATTACATAGGTCAGTGCCCTTCTGTTCCTTCATGAGATGAAATGGAAAGAACCCTAGATCTGGAGCCAGGAGATATGGATTGAAATGCCACCCGTGCCTGCCAGTTTTTAGCCCTATAACCTTGAGTTAATTGTTTAACATCTTTGGGCACCCGTTTCCTCATCTAGAAAATGGGGTTTGTACCCAAATCCGCAGACCATGCAAGTCTACAAGGTCATAACTCTCAATAATAGCGTAGTAAATCCTGAGCCAGCGCCAACTGATCTGGACTCTGAAGAAGATCACTGACAGGGCAGTTTGAGCAGTGGTTCCCCAACTGGAGTGGGCCTGCATCAGACCCTTGGGGGGCTTGTTGGAATGCCGCTGCTAGGCCCCAGCCCCCGAGTTTCTGGTTCTGCAGGTTTCGGGTGGAACCTGCTGAGAATCTGCATTTATGACAAAGTCCCAGGCAACGTTGGTGCTGCTGGTCCCAGGGCTACGCCTCCACAAGCACTGGTTAGAGGAAAGGCTGAGCATGCGGGAGCATTTGAGAAAGTTCAATCCATCAGGAGAAGAGTATTAATAAATGTTAGAGTTACATACCGCATACCTCAGTTCCTGCCAAGCTCTGCTTCTCATGCCAACTGATAGAGGATGGAGAAAGGGCAAGGCAGATTCTTGTCCCTAGAACGTCCCCTATTGGGTGGGCCTTAGTAGAAGAAGGAAGAAATAAGGAGACCCCCACCTTTGACCTCTTCAGCTCTAGATCTCTCGGGATGAACTCAGAGGAGAATCGCGACCAGGGTGACCCGCTGAGCCGGCCTAGCAGTATAAAGGGAGTCCAGTGGGGCCAGCCTGGGCGCTGCTACCCACACAATGTCCTCACTACATGTGTTCCGATGACAGTGTTGGACAAGCCCCTGAATGGCCCTTGGCGGAGCTCTGTAGAGGGTCTTGCTCTCTACAAATGCTCACCTCTGACCAGAAAGGCCTTGCAGTCACCATGGCCCCACATCAGCCAGTGCCTGTGAGTGACCAGCCCTCAGCTTAGTGAAGTTTTTGTTGAGGCTTAGTTCAAATATTTGTCATTTTTACAGTCTCGCTGGGTGGGTCTTGTTAGGTATCAGTCAATGACAGTATGAGAAGTTGTGATGTGTCAAAGTAACTTACAGAGATGCAGCTACTCCTCAAAAGAGGTCTTTTTCCTGGTTATCAGTGTAGCATGAGAAACAGAGTCAGCTTTGCCAGATCCCATTTCCTGGGGCCTCTAGTCAGGAAGCCATCCTTCCTAAGTGGACAATGAGTGATCACACTGTGTTGTCAGCCCTAACCCAGGTAGGTGACAAGTGCTTGTTCCAGAAGCTTGATTGTTGGGTTATGACAGAGTTGGAGAAACCCAGCTTGAGGAAAAGGCAGCCTCCAGTGGACACTGGGCCACCTCTTCTCCTTAGTTAGACCTGATCTGCTAAGAGGACAGGCCTGACCAGCGTCCAGCCTTCCCAGCCCTCGAAGTCCCCAGAAGTCTGGCTGTCTGTGCTGCCCCTTCTCCGCTGGCAGACAGGAGTCCGACGTGCCCCCATACAGATGTGAGAAGTTACCCAGGGCAACGCCATGGCAACACCAGTGGCATGGCGCCGGGACAGGGCTGGGGGGCAGGTGGGCAGTCAGTGGGCCTTTCGTGAGCCCCTAATATCAGACCCTCAGAGACAGAACTTGGTGGGCAACCCGAACACTTTCCAATAAGCTACAGAAGCAAAATGAGCTGCAGTGGCATAAACCCCTGCAGAGGCTTCTCCCTGGGTGGCAGAGACAGAGCGTGACAAAAAGAACTGAGGTCTGCCACAGCCGTGTGCCAAGGAGGCAGCAGCCCTCCCACAGATCTCCAGTGAGTGAACCACGGGGCCGCTGGCCATGTGGACTTGTGCATGCGCTCCAAAAATCACCCACAAGGACACCAAACGGGACTGTGCACAGGCAGAGCCGAAGCCAACGTGGTCAGCAGGCTGGCCTGTGTATGCAAGGCCCTAGGCTCCACTGGGCTCTCCCAGCACCCTGAGGGTGGGAGCAGGTGGCAGAGGGAGGCTGCCGCCTCCCGTTGTTGCTATGTTGCTCCATAACCGCAGGAGGCCTGGCTTTCTCAGCTCTGCCCTGCATCCTGCATGTCTGTGGAGAAGAGGGAAGCAAGCCCGGCTTGTATTTATGCTGATGAGGGTCAGGTAGCATCCCTCATACCTTTGGAGCACACAAAGCAAATAAAAAATTAGCCAGATGCGCAGCCACTACAGATTCAGCTGCATCAGGACCAACCATCTGGCATGGCATCCCCTCATCTGCAAGAGCGGGAGCCTGAGAGCTTGATTTAAAATGCCTGCAGCACTGCTGTTCAATGAGAAATAGTACAGACAGGGAATGCCTCAAAGGCAGACCCCTGTGACACCGTAGGTGTGTCACAGGCTCAAGAAGAGTCTCCAGTGACTGCACAGTGCCCCTTCGTGGAAGCAGGAGTAACACGTTTGCTCTGGAATCAGCGAGCCCGCAGGATGTGAGGACTGCAATGGAGAGCGCAGGGAGGAAGAGGACAAGCCGTGTGAGTCAAGGAATGGAGGAGAGGAAGAAAACGGGCGAGTCCAGGGACTCACGACACACACACACAGGCTGTGAAAGGAGAGATCGGTCCCAGGTCACTGAAGGGGCCTAGCACACTGTGGCCTTTTATTTTTTGAAGTCTGTGGACTGCACCATAATCTTTTCTGGGTAGCTCCCTCTTGACCTTGCTATAGCCAAGGTCAGCGAAAATCACTGAAGGGAATCAAACATTTCTGAGCACTATACTGTGATAGGTGCTTTGCCGGACACTTTCACAAAGTCCCCTCCTTTAATCCCTATGATCACCTCTGTTATGGGTTGAGGAGACCCAGGTAGAGGGTTATGAGGGGCTCAGCAACTTGCCCCTGGCTACCAGCCGCCTAGTGGCAGAGCCAGGATTTGCATCAGGAGCAGATGAAGCCACACAGCGACCAGGCTGCAGCCAGCAACAGTGAACCATGGCTAAGGCCCTTGCTTAGTTAGACCTTCATTTGCTAACAGGAACAAAGAAATCGCCATGTAATCAAGTGCTTTGTGGGCAAAGATGAATGTAATTGCACGTGTGTGTGCATGTTCATGGTTTTTAAATTTTAAAAAAGGGAAGGGGTAAAGATGTAAACGATTCAGGGACTTAAAAAATATGGAATTTATAGAGACATTTCTGTATCCCATAGTGTTGGCAATTAACAAACTTCTATGTTGTTCATATTAAATGATGAGTCATTATACCTTATGAATAAAGAATGATCCCCACCTGATACAAGGCTATGACTACATACCTAAAATATGCTTGTTAAGAAAATCTATACCCCAAATATACTTTCTAAATATATTTCAAAGTTTAGTAATAAAAGACTCTGTAAGGGTAATTATACTACTATTCCATTTCTTTTTTAAAAGGTAACTGGAGAGAAAGGATGATTAAAGCAAGGAACTGCATTAAAATTTAAATATACTAGCATCTTTGGACTTGAAGGTAGAGTGTTTGATTTTTCCAACAGTGCATAACAACAGGATCAAGTTCTCTTCTACCATCACAGATGTTCCTGGAGCCTCATGCCTGCCCTGCAGGCTCAGACCCCCAGCAGAACGCCCAGGTCTGTATCACCCAGCCCCTATCCACAATCCCCTCTGACTCCTTGAGTCAGAGATGGTTAGGCCTGGAAGAAGCCTTGGAGACTGCCTAACCCAACCCACTCACTTCAGAGACAAGCCATTCAAGGCCCAGAGAGGTCAAGTGGCTTGTTCAAGGTCACACAGCAAGTGAAAAGCTGAATTGACCTGGCTGGTGTGGCTCAGTGGATTGAATGTGAGCCGGTGAACCAAAGAGTTGCTGGTTCGATTCCCAGTCAGGGCACATGCCTGGGTGGTGGGCCAGGTCCCTGGTAGAGGGCGCGCAAGAGGCAACCACACAGGGATGTTTCTCTCCCTCTCTTTCTTCTTCCTCTCTCTCTAAAAATAAATAAAATCTTTCAAAGAAATGAAAGAAAAGCTGAGTTGAACAGATAAGTCTCTATTCCTAGTCTAGTTCTGCTCCCACTGTATAGTGTCAGGCTGCTGAAAGAAGGCATGGTGGGCCCCCGGGAGAGAGCTTAGGAGTGGATCACTCTCGTACCACCAAACTGGGCAGGACACACGGGTGCCCTGAGCACCAAGCCCTGCATGAGCGGCTCAGATGGCCTGGGGTTCCTGGGACTTTACCCCATCCTCCCGGAGCTTTTGTTTTCTCTTCTCTTCCACGGCAGCCCTTTTCTGGTTCTCCCGGCGCCGCTGCTCCTCCAGTTTCCGCCATCGCTCCTCCATTTGCTTTTCATACTGGAGCTTGGCCCTCTTCTGCTTCTCTAGGAACTGCTGTTCCCGGGCAGCTGGGGGAAGAAAAACAGAGGAGAGGGGGCATGACCAAAGCACTCTGCACCGTTTGGATGAAGACCAAAAACACAGAAGCAAGAGTGAGACCCAAAAAAGAGCCCCGTGGGAGGTCAGGCTACAGTGACTGAGATGAGGGGTTCTGGCACCTCTGTCACTAGCTGGGTGACGCCGGGCATGCTAACCATGTAATCTCTTTGGTTTCCTCCTCTGTGACATGGGGACAGTCACAGCTGCAACATCATGGTGCTGTGAAGATCAAATGAGACAATGCATGGGAAGTGTACAGTAAGTGCCCCTACACGTGGCAGCTACGACTGTCATTGCTATCCGCCAGTTCGTCTGGTCACCCTGGGTAAGCCATACACTGGTGAAGAGATGAGAGTTGTAAAGGCACGTTTATTCAAAACATGTTAACTGTGCATGCACCTTGCACCAGTCACCGAGCTAGGCAAGGGGGTAAACACATGAATAAGATTGGCATTCCCCACAAAACAATTAAGAAAGGGACCTTAACTCCCCCTGGCCCAGTAAGGACAGGGTTCCCTGGAGGGTGCAATGCCTGAGCTGACCAGCAGGAGGCAGCCAAGGAGAACTTGCAAGTTCATTTGTCCCAATTCAGGGGGGAAATCACTACCTACCTACCTCAGAGCATCCTGTGGGGACATGCCCTATGTATCCACCTAAAGCCTGCAAGAGGTGAGACAGCCTTTCTCAACTGGGTTCTCCACCTTAACACCGATAATATCCCAAATGGCCCTCCTACATGCCCTGGAGAGCTAGAGAGCCTGAGTGCGTGCACACAGTGGACACCTGAGCGGTAGGGGTGGCAGCTGCTTCTCTGGCTCCCGTTCTGCATGCTATCCACAGCCTCTAGCACAGCACACGTTCCACGTTCGCCAGGTGAGTGAAGGAACTGTCCCGAGGATTCCAGAATTGTGAACTTACCAGTTGCAGCATGGGTTCGCCCCCAATTCTCCACATTCATCTAACAATTGTCCTAGCTCTCTTGCAATTTAGTCAGAGATTTCTAAGGCTCTTGAGGAAAGGCCCCACCATATCTCCACTCCCTTGGACCTAAACTGCCAAAGTGCACAACTTACCAATACATTTTTCTCTCTCTTCTCGCCTTTCTTTAGCAAGCCGTTGTCTCTCGTCACATCTTAAAAACCCATCCATGCCTACAAGAAAGAAAACACAATGAAGTGTTTCTTCATTCTTTCCCTACCTGCTGAGTGCCGGGGGTTGCTGGGCCCACACCCGGATCTGGCCACATGCACACATCACCCATTGTCCTCGCTCTGTCCTCAGAGGCCTGGCCCATCACTCCCGTCCCCAAATGGCCCCCACACAGGACCCACCACACACACACAGCTGCCACACCCACCCACCAGCACCAGCCCCGGTAACCAAGCCCTTTCCCTAGTCTTCTGTCCCCAGGCCTGACCCTACACGGATCAGAAAGTGTAATAGTGACAGGGAGCCCTGGCACTACATAGAAAAGTACTCCAGGCCTCCCTCAGCCCAGCTCCCAGGGGAGGGGAGAAGCAGGAAAGTGGACATGATTATTACATAGAGAGAACATTCTAGTGTCTCTAGGTGGCCAACGGCTGTGGGACACACATAAGCTCCTCAGGTGAACAATGAGAACCACAACACTGATTCTGGTTCTACTAAGTTGGCTCTGATGTCAGTCTTAGTATTTTGGAATCACAAGGAAGCAGTATACTCTTATTCTCCTGTTTGTCACTTAAATATCTACAACAAATAAAATGGAACAAATGCAGTCCCCTCCCCAAATGTCCGGGAAGCATCCCGGGGCTCCTCCCTGTTAGCCATTTTATCCATCTTCTACAGGACTCTAAAGGGCTGTCTTAAGTTAACAACGAAATGACCTTTGCTGTCCTTGTAGGATGGGAAATAACTTATAGCACTAGGCCACTATCAGTCATTCATGACTATTATTTATATAATGTTCCAGCACAGCATTCAGGAGCAACTGGTTTCAGTGGTAGCACAACCATCATATTCTGAGCTCCTGAGCCTTCCTCTCTGGTAATGTTAGACGCTGACCTCATAGTGTCCGTTGCCACGGTAACCTGTACCCCCCACCCATGAAGGTCCCTACATTGTCCAGGAGGGGCCTACAGGCCTGGACTGCAGGGTAGGCATGGCAACAAGGACGGGGATGCATGAGATAAACTGGACCGCTGACTTCCTGGTGTCCGTTGCCACGGTAACCTGTACCCCCCTCCCACGAAGGTTCCTACACTGTCCAGGAGGGGCCTACAGGCCTGGACTGCAGGGTAGGCATGGCAACAAGGATGGGGATGGATGAGATAAACTGGATCGCTGACTTCCTGGTGTCCGTTGCCACGGTAACCTGTACCCGCCCCCCCCCCCCCCATGAAGGTTCCTACACTGTCCAGGAGGGGCCTACAGGCCTGGACTGCAGGGTAGGCATGGCAACAAGGACGGGGATGGATGAGATAAACTGGATTGCTGACTTCATGGTGTCTGTTGCCACGGTAACCTGTACCCCTCCCCTCCCACGAAGGTTCCTGCGCTGTCCAGGAGGGGCCTACAGGCCTGGACTGCAGGGTAGGCATGGCAACAAGGACGGGGATGGATGAGACAAATACTGGACTGCCACGATTCCTCACCAGCGTTTGCTTCTGCAGCCTGGATCACAGATAGGGGAAACTGATGCTGAAGAGACAAGCACTGTAAAACCAACCCTTGACAAGCACCGCTCCCCATGTTTGGTTTCGGTCAGCTCCTAATCATTACAGTGCTCCCAACAACATGGATGCCATCAGGAACGTCAAGTCCCTCCCCCCAGTAAAAGAATTTCAAGGCCGGACTTCTCAGCTTAACACTGCCCCCCCCCATCGAACCCGAAACTCTTCCTAGCTTGACCTCAGCACTGCCCATCTCCCACCCACCTTCCACCTGAAACCGCCCCTTCTCCCACCGCCCCTGCTTGTTTAAACCCCCCCACCTTCAAGACCCCACAGGTTCCCCAGACCCCAGGATGCTCTGTGCTCCCCCGTGATGGGGGAAGCCTAATTTCATTCTGCTTGGTGGTTGTGTTCTCCTCTAACTTGGTCTCCCTGGAGAGAGCGCGGCTGCTGAGCCAAGGTGGCTTACTCATCTCTGGGTCACCCAGCTCAGGCCACTGTCCCCTGCCCCCCTCCCAGTGGCCCCTAGGTACACACAGTGCTGAAAGACAGGCCATGTAGTCAGTGGGAGGGGAGCAGGGAGGTAAAACCAGGTTTCTCTAAATACTTTCAGGCACTCATTTCTACCACAAGAATTTGATCAGTAAGAATATGTTGTGTGAAGAGCTACAAAGAGAAGCCCAGGAACCCTGGACAGGCACTTGGATCCTCCCAAGAAGGACAGGCACCTCTCCAGGTTCATGGACCTGCCCCATATCTAAGGCAGAGCCTAAGAACCACTGAAAGTGCTCTTTAAACACAAGGAAAAATAACTGAGGGAAAAGGGCCCGGCACATTTTAAACTGGCCACATTACCTCGAGGCCTTACAAACAGGACACTGGCTGTTCCGCGGACACAGAAGGCCGGAGGCTGCTTCTTCGCAGCCATTTTTAAGAGAGCCGACTTCAAATCATTTCTTTCCCACCAAGCCTTCATGATGCTCTGAGTCATCAACATCAGTTTCATCATAATAGGAGGTGACAACACAGTGGTTGCTAGGAAACCAGCATACTGCTTAGATCACTGCCATGATCCTCACCTTATAGGTGCAGAAAGGGAGGCACAGAGAGGTTAATTAAGCTGTGTGACGTCCACCATCAGAAGCAGAGAAGCCAGATTCCAATGCAAGAGCCTAACTCCAGGACCCACACTCTTTTTTATTTTTAATTTCATTTTTTCCCATTTTTTAAAATGTTTTTTATCGTATTTTTTCCATTACCATTTAGTCACCTTACACCCCCTTCGCCCAAAATCACCACACTGTTGTCCATGAGTCCTTTTTCCCTTTTGCTCAATCCCTCCACCCCTGACTGCTCCCCCAACACTGCTGAGCTGTCATCTGCTCTCCATCTATGAGTCTGTCTCTATTTTTCTTGTTAGTTCAGTTTGCTCATTAGATTCCACATATGAGATCATATGGTATTTGTCTTTCTCTGCCTGGCTTATTTCACTTAGCATAACGTTCTCCAGGTCCACTCACGCTGTTGCAAAGGATAAAATTTTCTTCCTTTTCATGGCTGAGTAGTATTCCATTGTGTGAATGCCCCATAGCTGTTTTACCCACTCATCTACTGATGGACACTTGGGCTGCTTCCATATCTCGGCAATTATAAATAACGCTGCAGTGAACACAGGGGTGCTTATGCTCTTTCGAATTAGTGTTTTGGGTTTCTTTGGATAAATTCCCAGATGTGAAATCATGAGGTCAAAAGGGAGTTGCTTTTTTAATTTTTGGAGAAAACTCCATACTCCTTTTCCCCAGTGGCTGCACCAACAGGACCCACACTCTCTATCACCACTTTCCTATGTGGCTCTCCAACAAAGGAGGGAGTGTAACAGCTTGATCTTAGTGCCCATGAAGAAGAGCTGTGACGCAGTATCCAGGGCAGGCAACAAACCCCATCCATGTCCCAGGAATGAGCCTGCAAATCTGGAGAGAAGGGCAAGTCTAATTCCTTAGAGCAGTATCAGTAATCACTACTGTGAGCCAAGCACGGGCCGGCTGGACACGCATGTGGCCGCTGCCCAGGCCAACTATTTGTTTCCTCTTAAACTGATGATTTGGAAATGCTTGCTCAAGGATGTTTTAGAGAGGCTGATGATGCTGGGGAGAGGGTTAGCCAGAGAACCCTCGGGGACAGCTGTGGCAAGTCTTCTGTCTTGTCCTACTGAGGAGGGTAGAGTGACTCAAACACCCCAACATGGGTAAACCTGGAGTTTCTGTGCTGTCATATGGCAGCCATGGGCCATGGGCAGCTATGTGACTTTAAGATAATCAGAATTAAATGCAATTAAAAGCTCAGTTCCTCAGTCACATGGGGCACATTTCAGGCACTCACTAGCCACATGGTGGTTGGTGGCTCCCAGACTGGACAGCATTGAAGGAGTGGCCTGGCGGCTCAGTCCTGTATTCTCTCCCTTCATGATTAGCTGCTCTGGGACTCATGTATAAGGAAGCTCGCAGAGTTCAGTCAGGATTGAGTTTTGCTGGGTGAGTAAGGCTGGATAGGACCTAGTCCTTCCACACGGCATCTGCCTCCCCTAATTCAAAGAACTGTCAAGCACCCCAGTGACAAGGGAAACAAACACAAAAATAAACACAAAAATAAATACATGAAACTAAAAACTTCTGTCCAGGAAAGGAAACCATCAACAAAATAAAAAGGCAACCAACCAAATGGGAGAAGCTATTTGCAAATATTTTCAATAAAGGGTTATAAGAACTGATACAACTCAACAGCAAAACATCAAACCTGATTTCAAAAAATGGGCAGAGGATCTGAACATTTTTCCAAGGAAGATGTACAGGTGGCCAACGGGTGTATGAAACGATGCTCCGCATCACAAATCATCAGGGGAATGCAAATCACAAAACCACAACGAGGTATCACCTCACACCTGTCAGAATGGCTATTATGAAAAAGACAGGAAATGTTGGAGACAATGTGGAGAAAATGGAACCCTTGCGCACTGCTGGTGGGATTTTGAATTGGTGCAGTCACTATAAAAAAAACAAATAGTTTGAAGGCTTCTCAAAAAACTAAGAATAGAACTACTGTGTAGCAATCCTACTCCTGGGTATTTATCCAAAGAATATGGAAACATTAATTCAAAAAGATATGAATCTTTTTGAACAAGTACCCGTATGTTCACTGAAGCATTACTAACAATAACCGAGATCTGGAAACAGCCTGTGTTCCTCCACAGATGAATGGGTACAGAAGATGTGGTATTTGTATGCAATGGAATACTACTTGGCCATAAAAAATATGAAATACTTCCATTTGGGACAATACGGATGGAACTTGAGGGCAAAAAGGGGTGGAGAGAGGGTGAAATGGATAAAGGGGGTCAATTATATGGCGATGGATGGAAACTAGACTTTTGGTCATGAGCACATTACAGTGTATACGCATATTAAATTATAATATTGTATACCTGAAACTCCTATAAACTTCTA